AACAAATAACTTACTTACTTGTACTTGATTAGGTCTCCTCAATCATTCGAGTGGCCTGCACCAATGAACTCCCGTTTGTGACGTATCATCTCCCTCCAAAGTTTTCGGTCACTAGCCATCTCGCTCGCTCCTTCTAGGTCTATGTCAGTGTTTCCTGTAAACGATGCAGCATCTTCCAGCAAACATTTCCTCCAGTTCTTTCTTGGACGGCCCCTAGATCTTCTCCCATGGGCAGGGGTCCAGTTAAGCAGGTACTTAGGAAGCCTAGTGTCTGGCATTCTGGTGACATGGCCAAACCAACGCAGGCGGTTTGCTCCTATGTACGTCTCTACTGGATTTATCTTTGCACGCTCCAGCACTTCAGTGTTTCTAACCCGATCGAGCCATCTTATCCTAAGTATTCTCCTCAAGCAACGCTGATGGAACACCTCAAAGCGATGTAGCTGCTTTTTGGTTGTGTTCCAAACCTCACTACCATATAACAATATTGTCAAAACCGCTGCCTTATAAATCCTGATCTTTGTATAAGACTGGATGTTGCGGTTTTTCCATATATTACTCAGTTGATTGAAGGCTCCGGAAGCTTTCTGAATCCTAGCTGACAGCTCACGGTCGATAGTACCGTCGCTGGAAATAATTGTACCTAAGTACGTAAAGTCACTAACTTGCTGCACTGGCGTGTCTTCAACAGTGATGTTCACTGTGGCTTCTTTCGTGTATGGCCGTTGAGAGGTTGCTTTACCAATGACCATAGCCTCAGTCTTTTTACCATTGATTCTAAGACCTCCCTGGGCACCATACATACACAAAAGGTCAGTTGTTTCTTGAAGACCTTCCTCGCTGTTATCCAGTACAGCCATGTCATCTGCATAATCTGTATCTAACACAGTGATATCATCAACGAGCGGACTGATAGATCTTTGAAGAACCGCTCCGTGGGACACCACTTTGTTGCTTTCTGTTCTCTCAGCAGCCACATTGAGGCAGACATTAAAAAGTGGGGGACCCTGAATGTCTCCTTGGCCACTGCCTGAACTTACTTCAAACCATTCTGATAGTTCACCATTGTGTCTAACAGCACTAACAGTTCCATTAAAGAATGCCTGTATTATTCGAATGTATTTACATGGCAGGCCATAATGACTGAAAGCTTTCCAAATATAATTCCTGTCGATGGAATCAAAAGCTGCCTTGAAGTCCACAAAATTTACATACAGGGGGAGATTATATTCAATGCAGTTATGTATAATAGTGCGGAGTGAATAAATCTGATCAATGCATGATCTGTTCTTTCTAAACCCACACTGATTGTCTCGTAGCAGACTTTCTAAACCGTCACTCATGCGTTGTAATATGATGATTTGATACAGTTTAGATGCTGTAGATCTTAGAGTGATCCCCCTATTATTGGAGCAATGAGAGGTATCACCCTTCTTTGGTACAATTATCACGATGCCTTTCAACCAGTCGTCAGGCACTGCTTCTGAATTCCAAACTTTAGAGAACAATTTCTCCATCCTATCCACAAGACCACTTGCCCCATACTTTAACTGCTCATTAGAGATTTCGTCAATCCCAGCACTTTTGTGATTCTTCAATTTTTTGAGACAGTTTAAAATCTCAAGTCTTGTGGGGGGACCATCACCATCACCAAGATAAGGAAAGCATGGAACCACTTCAAGATGGTCCAGGTCAGACATATCCGCATTCGTGGGAGGAGGGTTTAATAGCTCCGAAAAATGTTCTCCCCATCTCTCTCTCTCTGAGCAGAGGGATCAGCAATCAACTTCCCGGATTTGTCTCTTACAGCAGTTGATTTTCGATTCTTCTTACCGGACAGTGTTTTTATCCGTTGCCAGACTTCCCTTTGACGGCCATGGACAGCAGCTGTTTCCAGATCTGCTGCAACTCTAAGAGCCCAATTCTCGTCGTCTTTCCTGCAGCTCTTTTTGACAAGTTTGTTGGCCCGAGAATACTCGCTCCTATTGTTGTTGTCATTAGGCGCCATTTGTTTAATCTTACTGCGTTCTGCAATAAGGGTTTTTGTCTCCTGAGACAAATGCTGCTGCTTTCTGCGCCGGGGGCGCTCACCCAGTACCTCCATAGACACTTCTTTAATAGTATCCTTAACTAATGTCCATTCTCCATCAAGATTCTCCTCCATTGGTAGGCAGCTAAAACGATTTTGAAGAGCAATGCAGTACTCTTCAACCTTGGACTGATCTCTAAGATTCTCAATTGCTGGAGATATCCTACGAGAGGCGTTCATTTTTTGAACTGCCATAAGTTTGACTCTAAATTGACCCCGAACCAAATAATGATCGGAGCCAATGTCTGCACCCCTGCATGATCTTACGTCAAGTAGAGAGTGACTCCACTTGGTAGAAATACAGACATGGTCAATCTGATTTACTGTGCGGCCATCTGGAGACTTCCAACTTCCTTTATGAATATCACGATGCTGGAAAAGCGTCCCACCGATTGTCAACTGATGTAATGCACAGAAATCTAATAGTCGAAGGCCGTTGTCATTTGATGAAACGTGAAGGGAATGCTTACCAATCACACCGGACCAAGCTGAGTTATCTTGGCCAATGCGAGCATTTAGATCTCCAAGTAAAAACTTCACGTCATGAGCTGGTAGTTCATCAAATGCCCCAGATAGCTGCTGATAAAAGTCATCCTTTACCCCGACTGCTGCATCCTCAGTTGGAGCATAAGCTATCACAATCGAAATGTTGATATGTCGACTGTGCAGCCTCGCTGCAAGAATACGTTCTGATATCGGACTGTATGAAATCAATGAATTTTTAGTCTTCTTCGAGAGGACTAAACCTACCCCTTGTCGTCTGTACCCATCACTTCTTCCTGAGTTAATAAAGAGGGACCCATCATCCAAGGTAACCTCACCAGTGCCGGGTCTGTGCGTCTCTGTCAGCCCCAAGACATCCATTTTATATGCTGACATATTCTGTGACAATTCATACAGCTTTGAGGAACTGCTCTCCAATGATAACACATTCCACGTTCCCACATTAATGCTGTGTTTGATAAAGTTGCACGGGAGTGCTCTCCCCTTCTCCGGGTCCACATGAGTGATATGCTGTGAACTAATAACACTGTTGAAATAAGGCGACTTCTTTGTTCTCATCTGCACACTGGGGTCCTTGCGGCTTTGCCCAGAGCACTTCATCCTGGCTACACCCCTCCTTGAACTCCGAGAGTCACTCCACTTTTGGTTATTCATTGATGTTTCAGTAGCTATTTTAAGGTTGAAGGGTAGCTGGCCCCTCGAACCTGGTAGTTTTTTGTCGACCTTTACTGGTCTAGATCCATAGTTTTTTGTTGCACCTCATCTGTTTAAACTGGAATCACCCAGAACAGATTACTGTACTTAATAGTGGCACCTCGTAAAGGGTGTACTATGGTCATTGAAATAGGAGAGGTTATAAGTTACACGATCACTATTTCCTGAGATTATAGAAATCTCTTGCCACCAAAGAAATCTCTTGCCACCAAGAAATCTCTTGCCACCAACAAATAACACACCTGATCAAATGATTCGTAAGGAATTGCAATATTTCAGATTAAGATTTCAACACGTAGCAGCAGCTAATAACTTGTTAACTGAATGGAAATTAACGTAGCGCGGTGATGAATGCTCAGTGAATGTGATTATTCTTAAATACAATGAGCTATTATGCGTAACGTATTCTTATCTAATTAGTAAAGTACAGAATTTACTGGCTGATAATTTACCTTATATCCTATTCCCGACCATGATCAAACCGTCAATTGACCAGCTGTGTGGAAATGGAATTCCAACGAAAGCATGTTACGGTGGAATTCCACCCTATCCCTAATTAATGAATTCCACAGAGCTGTGTCAAAGCTTCTCGGACAGTGTCTAAATTGTAAAATGACCAACTTCTACCTCTGCAGTAACTTATCGTTCTACCTCGACACAGTGACAATGTACATAAAGGATCTGGATAGAAGCTAAACATGTGTAAAGTAACAAAATGAACCCAGAGTAATGAAATGAACGTATGAGCTTGTGAAGATATAACATATATGTAGAGAGTCTGTGCAAGGTGGGAGAAGCCCAAAAGTTTATTACGCTATTTCTCTGATATCGAGTATCTACTATCTACTAATCTCGTGATATAGCTTTGTAGAGAGGGGTAAATTCAGTGGTAAGCAGTTGGAACAAAAAATAGGTACCCGTTTATTTGTATTTTGACCGGGCCTGCTGCCGCCTTACAGTTACTGTCTTCAATCTTGTAGTAAGCGTTGTTTATAGGCATACGTTGCGTTCATTGATAAACGTAACAAACGAAATAACAAGCATAAAATATGAGAACAAAAATATTATGTAAATAATATGTTGACAATATGTAGACAATATGTAGACAATGTAAATAATAAGTAAATAATGCGAACTTATGTATTTCAATGAATGCAAAAGCGAAAGATCAATGTTGTCAGGATGAAAAAGATCAGAATTTCTACTGGTTAATATGTTCTCCTGATATTAAAATTGATGTCAATTATTTGCTGATTGGTGAACTTTATCTGGACGAAATGCCCACTATCGAAACTAATATTACAGAGTTTTGAGTTTCCCGTACATCTTCTGTTTAGGTCGGATTCTCTATTCTCATCACGCTGCCGCGGACATAAAGCTGGTTCAGCATACATTCCAGCTGCCATTCCCTCAAATTTCAGATTACCTTTTCTAACTCTGATATATCTGGTTTGCACCATTTCCTGTTTCTCCTTCTTTCACTCGTCGTAATTTTGGAATGCCGAATAGGTCAATGAGTTAATGCTATTAATAATGGTAACTGTATGATCATTGTGGCAAAACATCTATAAGTCCTATAATAGGTCCTATAATGATTTGTATGAATATTATGTTGATCAATATACGTTGATACTGACCATTCTCCCAGCGCAATGTCTTTATTTGTATTTTGTGCTGAAATTAAGGTGAAAGAATGGCGTGCTGTTGTAAGCCAGCTGTGCCCGGACATGTTAATGTTAATACAAACTCGATCATTTTTAAGAGTAATTTATAATGTTTGGCCGGTTGATTGATTAAAATCCCGGTGAGGAGTTGTCTCACAAGGAAAATGTCATTATAAACTTATTGCATGGCAAATTTTGCAAATGACTTATGGCAATATCCCACATCAAATCATAGAAAATATTGTACAAAATGGGTTTATTTTCAGAGCTACGTTTTATAACGTATCAGTATGACAAAGAAGTATATGAAAAATACACACAGATAATAATTATCAATGTGGACCCAATCCCAGCGAGCAGTCGTAGAAATTCATTTCATAGAAAGTATGCTTTAGACTTCCGAGTGGGAAATTTGCTCAAGGATCAATCATGATTATCTCCTTTCTTTTGGAGCTTAAGTCTAAGAAATAACAATCGCCCGCTTATATGCAACTCACAGTAAATCAATCCGATAACTCCAAAACAGTCGTCGGTATAAAAAAATAAAATTCAGATCTGTTTTTCCCTATCATTTGTACGACTGTGAGAAAAACTACAAATTCTAATTAAAGTTGATGCTGATATTTACTGTGTTTTCAGGTCGTAACCCGTGTGGTAATACATTACGATCACTCTACGAAGGGTTCTCCCTCAGCTTCCTCACTCAGCTCGACAGATCCAGCTACCCCAGAGTAAGAAAACTCATCACCCAGCACTTGTTACCAGAGAACACTGCATCCGAGATTATCCGACACAAACTTCCACAACCTGGAACTAAGTTAGTTATATAACTATATAACTTGTTGTGCTTAATATAATAATGCGTTGATATATTTCTATGAATAATGGATAAAAATAGCCACTGTTATTATAATTAGTTAAACGAAACTAAATTACATACTTGTACTTGGTATATCGATTATTTATATCTTCACTTCGAGTTCTTACGTTCTTTTTCCAATATTCATGAACTTGGCCCATGACTCCAGGATTAATACAAATTCGAAACCACTAACCAAGCCTCCCCTCAGTCATGTGTTAGTAGAAGGGTACTGGATTGAGAGGGGGGACCTGGAACCGGTCACCACGCCAGGTTACATCCTTACTCAAACTGTAAAGGAGAACCTGCACGACCTAGCACGTGCTGTGAGCTCGGCTGAGTACCCTGTATTACTGCAGGGTCCTACCAGCGCAGGTCAGTACACTCAGTAGTGTTACAGAGTTACCTTTATGTTATATACTGCAGGTTTCGATATCCTCTCAATTAATTATCTTTGATCTTGCGGTCTCACTAGTTGTAGAACTTGTAAAGGTAGTAATATCATAACCTCTAAATCACAGGAAAGACGTCTGTGGTAAAGTACCTGGCCGGTATAGCTGGGACAACAGTTATCCGGATTAATAACCACGAACACACGGACCTACAGGAGTACGTGGGTAGTTACTGTGTCGGGGAGAACGACAAACTCGTCTTTAAAGAAGGTTTGGGAAGATCTACATATTACTTTTTCCAAATTATAAATAAGCTATTTTTGAGCAATAGTTACTTTTATGGACAGATTTTCCTGACATTTCTTTCCTCATGACAGGTCTTCTGGTGGAAGCAATGAGAGCCGGACACTGGTTGATCCTGGACGAGTTGAACCTGGCACCAACTGACGTTCTTGAAGCGTTGAACAGAGTCCTCGATGACAATAGAGAGCTTTTCATCGCAGAGACTCAGATAACTGTAAAAGCTCACCCTCATTTCATGTTGTTTGCGACACAGAACCCAGCTGGTGAGTGAGAGGCGGCTAGACATATTCAATTTGGGACATAGTTGGTTCGTGCGTTACTTTTCCAGAAAAAGTGCGTTTGGTTCGTGAAGATTTTTTCGTGCGTTTAAGTGCGGTAAAGTGTGTCTGCCTTTACATTACGAGGTTTACGAATTAAAAAATGTCAAAATTCTTCATTCCTACATCTTACTAAGGTAGTGTAAAAGAGAACTACCACGTGCAGCTGCACCAGTCTTTTCAGATGCACTGATATTGCGCAGATTACCGTGGATATGTACAAGTTTCTCCACTTTTTCCGTGCCCACGCACTGATTTGTTAGAAACAGATTTAAAAGTGCGTTTGTAAAAAGTTTTCGTGCGTAAAGTGCGTTCGGTTTTAAAAGTGCGTTTAGTGCGCACGAAGCAACTATGATTTGGGATAACTGGTATTCGCAATTTCGCTGAAAGTATTCCTTTCCATTATATAAAAAAATGGACCGCCATTCGCTCCTTGGTGGATTGCTTTGCGCTTCATCCTGGAAACTTACAAAACGTGGATGGCGATACGGGTGATAATTCCCTCTTACGGACCCGGTTATTCTTTTTTGTGATTTCATTGTTTAAACGTTGAACATTACATTCCAGGTAGCTATGGAGGCAGAAAAACTCTCTCACGAGCCTTTAGGAATCGGTTCATTGAGTTACATTATGAAGATTTGCCCTTGTCTGAGATAAAGACAATCATAGAAGAACGATGCCAACTTCCTCCTTCTTACAGTAAAAAGATTATCTCGGTGATGGAAAAGCTCCAGGTATTATATATGGTGTGCTCATTTTAAAATTGAGAGTTTACCAGCAGCTAAAATTGTCTAATTACAAGGTAAACATGTACCTGGCATGGAAATCAGCATATTGATTAAATTGTGCGTGACGGCGTACATAATATACAAAATATATAAAATATACAAAATCCTATTATCGGTATTACTCATTAATCAGCCGTCTCGAAGCCAAGATTTATAATCATGAAACCACTGTGAAACAACGCATGCGTTAGTCTAATTTTTTTATGAACACTGAGCCGCAGTCGGGCGTTATCCAACAGAAAATTTGCAGTTTTTTGCATTATTCGTCTACGCAAGCCACTCCACGATCCGTTGTTTTGCTGCCGAAGTTTGTAATCAATAGTTCCAAATTACGATTCTTGAAAAACGATCGTTATTTCCAAAAACTTAATCATAGTCATTACCATATCTTTATAATTAATATCTTTAAAATTAATATCATTATCATGTACAGGTTATTAATAGTTTTACAATACTCAAAAAGCGGAAATTACTTCATAACAGCTCTATTTTTAGTTTCCTCAATTCCTTACTGTGCCTTCCTTCGCTTTCCTTACGCTAAACCACCGTGAAGCAGCCGGACGCGTAATACTGGCATACTGAGCAGTGCACAGTTTGGCAGAGTTTAAATATTTGCGAATTTTCTGGGTTCACTAATCACTTGATTCGGCGTGTGTGTGCATCTCATGAGTCAACGTCTTCATATTAATCTCGAAGTAACCACGCGTCTGTTTTGTTTTTTCATAGGTGTGATAAAGCTTCCAAAACGCCGGTCATTGATCAGAGAGAGGTTGATGTTGCGTCCAATTATATCATCGCTCTCGCCGTGCCGAGTTAGTTTTAGATTAATAAGGCGCTGCATTTCTAGTAGATTGTATTAAACTCCCCTATTCTGGCTTACCCAAGACATTGAACGGCTGAATATCCAATCTCCACGCACAATTCGAGTCTGCACCACAGATTGGGAGTGCAGTTATTGTTTGCTGCTAGTGCTAAGTCTGACAAACTCCTTTACTAATTGTTGTAAGTTTATCAATAATAAGATTTACAAATTAATTTGAACTTCATGTTTATGATTGCACAGGGAGTGGGCGGTGGATAAAAATGTATAGATAGAGTTTCTTGATATGTTGTGGCCATATACTGTGTGTGTACACTGTACAATAGCATTGGTCGCAAACTCGCATCGGATGTCATTCATTAATCGACTCAATACTAATATAATGTTGTACTATTAATATAATGTTATACTAATATTAAAATGTTATACTAATATTAAAATCCCATAATTATAATTTGTTGCAATAATTTGCCTCGTCATCAGCTTTTTCCTCGTCTCCTCTTCGTATGGTTTACAAAGCACAATGATCAATTATTAAGTTACTAGCACGCAGTTAATTTCTACCATTCGGCATGTTGAGACTTGAGACTATAGCTTGAAAAATTATTTGTTTATAATACTGTTGCCAATTTCACTGTAATATGATGAGTGATGCAGTATAAAGCTATAATCTGAAAGTTAACATGCATACAGAATACAGATGACCATTACTAATACCATTAGTAATTTGTTACGGTACTGCTTATGAACATTTCGTTGCGAATTCTTTTGCCTTTGTCCTAAGATAATAGGTACAATTTAAAGGTCGAACTACATTTTGGAATTTAACTCTCAACATAGCTTCTTGAAACAACACCATTCAATTTTATGAAAAATTGCCGAAATATTATTAAATGATAATTGATGTTTTGACTTCAATTCACGATATTTCACGATATCGAGTTTCCCACGGACTACACGCATCGATAGTATCGTCTTTTAGAAAACTCGGCAGCACGACGTATTCTGTCACTCGTAAAAAATCACCATAATTAGATTCATTTAAAAATCATGTACAAATACTTAAAGAATTTGAAGACAGATCCCAGAGTTGAATTTTTGTTTGCAGTACAATTTACGACATATTTTCCTCTTAAAAATACCATTACCAGTGACTCGACCGGCCACCCCGGTCGACCGTGCTAGCCAGCACTGTGGTTATATACTACAATTTTACCTGTTAAAAGTTACATTATTAATATATTGACTCCGTTTTGTCTCTCAATTATACACTGTGTGAAGTTGTCCGGCAGCCACCATTTTAGATCGTACTTAATACGGCAGAAACTAATCAATCATAATCAAAGTGTAATTGTTGATCATGATCATGGCCCATCATTCCCATAGAAACGGAAGCATGTATTCTGCTAACTGCTTGAACTTAGAGTGCTTCTTATACTTTCATTCCAGTTACCATAGTTACCAGACTACTACCGCGTACGGCAAAAGTGCACGGCGATGTTTCATGCTTGTTTATTTCCGAATTAACTTCACCTTCGTCAGTGGCACATGGCATCACAGTTCTAATTCACTTCACAACTGTGGACCGTTTACTAAGTAATGGCAAGTGAGGGATCCTGATTAATGAAATTGAATGAAAATTGTTGCTCCACCGTCACAGCGGGAATACCCACGTTCGCACCCTCATCTAATCATTCCCCCCGTTTATCGCTCTGTTGACTCGCCTTTGGTTGTGATTGTTGACACGGAGCACCTGAGCTGCGTTACTATGTTATCCACACGTACAGGCCAGCGTGTGTTTTGCACATAGCTTTCGTTTGTTTTTTTTTGTGTTTTGTAAAACTCTGATTTCCGGCTAAAGTTTTGAATATTTATCACAGGTTGGTTTCGAGGTTAAACTGCTATTCAGATTTGTTGTTGTCCTGTAATTCTGTGTAAATGTAATCGTGGTAATGCATTACGTTTAATATTCCCTCCAAACAGAATGAACAGCACAACTACAATATCAGCACACAACACGACAGACACCCTCGTCTACCTCATTCCCTGGCTAGATAATGTGTACGGAGGAGTCAGCCTACTTGGATCTCTTACTGGAACCGTAGGGAATTTACTCAGTATACGATACTTTGCTCGAGAACGAAAGAAAGTGTCCAACATGCTCTACCTTTGGATGATCGGAATAGATGTGGTAACCTGCGTTTCCTTGTTTCATTTTGGAGTGGCCAGGATATATCCAGCATTTGGGGTTAAGTATCTTGCAGCTGGGATTCTGTGCAACATATTTGGATTTCTATACAACATCTCATCCCGGTTATCTGTCTTTATTGTGGCACTTCAAAGCATTCTTCGTAGTTATTCCCTCGTTTACCCATTTAAGAAAACTGGTTCAAGATATGTTTTGATAATTGTCAGTGTAATGGCAGCGATACAAGTATTCCAGGCCAGTTTACCCTATCTTTGGTGGAAGAAATACGAGTTCAACTCGCACTGGACGCTGTGCCTGTGGTATTTGGACGATATTTGCAAACCAGAAAGTAAAATGTATAATGTTCTGTACATCTTGACTCTTATTTTGCCGTTCTTACTTCCCGCAGTGCCTGTTCTCATCAGCTGTGGGGTTTCAATCACGTTCATCAGAACTTATCCAGTTCCAGACATTCCCGGGATGGAAATTTCTCCTAAAATCACTGTCTCTAATCGCATTTTAAACAAACTCTGTTGTAGTTCTGGCGCCGCGCCTGTCAAGAAAAAACGGCTCAGTGTTGCTCCTCGACTGAGTCAGCTGTCTTCGGTCGTGAAAAGTAGGCTGAAACATCGAGCCACAGTCACAATCCTCATCATAACCGGGATTTATATCATTCTGAATATCCCTTACTGGGTTTATCTAACCTACAATCTCATCATGCCGTACACCTTCAGCCTCTTTGATATGTACCTCGGGATATTTCTCAATCCCCTTTGTGTAATCCTGAACGCTGCCATAAACCCTGTCGTATATTTTCTGCGTATTTCTGGAATGAGGTCTCACGTGACTGATACCTTTAAGAACATTCCTCTCCCTCGATCTCCACGACCAGCGAGGAGGATGGTTAATATTTCGAAGGGGGCTGGGATTTCAAATGTTAACAGGTCGTGTGTAACGTTTAACTCTTTAGTAGTTGAAAGGACGCGTTTTACAGTTCCAGACGTCGTTGGGTCGCATGTTAGTCGAGTCAGCAGGCTTAATGATTATAAACATTTGGGCCTTGTGGTGACACAGTGATGCCAACTATGTGTTGTCAATAAATATAATTCTCGTCTTATTTTTTTCATTTCAGTTTTATTAGGAACTAATATTTTATTGAAAATGAATTTTGTGGCAATTTGTAACATTCAACTGCCATTGCAATAATCTGAGATAATCCCGATTTTTAAATATTAAATATCAATGCAATGGACATTTCTACACGACTCCATCTTCAAAAAACAATCAGACATGATTACAAAGGGACATTGCAGTCTGGAACATCGTACAATTTCGGGGCGTCGTGCGTTGGGTGTTGTATCAACGTCATGTTGGAATCGATGATTTGATCATTATTAATGGCGAAAATGTTTTTGCGATTTTTGCCTTGGACGGATGCCAACTGAATGTTAACTTCTACTCGTCTTATCCTAATATATTTTAGCATTTGACACTGTTGAAATTACTACTTTTCATAGCTTCTTTGTACAAAAGTCTCTCAAATATCACCTTGTAAGTGTCATATTTATATTAATTTTTAATTGTCTGCACAAACTAACTGGCGGTTGAAATCATGGATAATTACAATTAAAAGAGATTAAAAGTCGTCCGATATAATTGAACTGATTTTCATGGATATTTTGAAATTTATTGAGCAACCTTACTGGAAATCTCTATTCAAACTACCAATTTAAAATTGCCGCACTAATGCACTTTATTTAGGACGGAGACTGCACTCGATTGACTAAAATAGGTAGCACCGTTTAGCTAGGGTCTAAAAATCACAGCCCCAAAGTCCAAACAAATCGCAATCTAAATAATACCACCCACGGAAGTTTTGATAAACATTAACATAAATAAGGCTTTCGTAAAAAAATACGGTGCATTTAGAGTTTTCAAAAAATACGCGAATAATTTGCCAATTTACTACTTCAAGTTTTAATCTTTAGGGCTGTTAAATTTGCCAAGAAATGCGCGGAAAATTCGGTAAAAATGCGGCTGTGGGCTGTGAGAACGCGCAGCATTCTCAAATCAAGAAAGCAATGCATCGTACAGACCTTCTGTTAATGTCTTGACGGTGATGCTGTCAATAATATCTGACATCGGAAACTTGGTTTTTTCAAGATGAACTTTTTAAGTTTTTACTGAAGAGTGGTCGAATATTTTCTAGGCGCCTAATTGGAAAGACAAAACATTTGGAAATGGATTGCAAAGAAAATTGTTGTTAAATTGTTTACATTTCTCATTTTCAGCTAATAAATCCTTGACTTAGATACAGATTATCTAATAATAAATAAAAGGTTTCACTGCATTAATTGGGCATTAATATATTATATAATAATCAGAAATAAATAGAAAACTGCTTAATCGAAATTGAGTTAAAATATTCACGATAATTTTGTACTTCGACTTCTGCAAGAACATCTCTACTCGCTTGCGCTTGCAGAATTAATTTCGCTGATTTCTTTAACCACTTCGAGATGGCAGGGCCTACTCTCATGCTGTCTATAGGTGATGATTAATTCTGAAAAACTAGGGACAACTCATCACCTATAGACAGCATGAGAGTAGGCCCTGCCATCTCGAAGTAATAATAATAATTTAATGTTTCGCAGATTGGCAATTGATCGGTGTAGTTGGTGTTGTACACGCTGCACTGATAATGATATCACGTTGAACGTGTAATGTAAATATAGTGTGGATATATGCGAATATATATTCTAATAACTGATAAATGATATTCCGCACAAAGCATGAAATTGTGCTGTATATGAGTGGTGATTTCGCTCTGAGAATCAGGGTCAGTAGCTCAATTGGTAGAGCAAGACACGCGAAATGTCGAGGTTCTGGGATCATTCCCCAGTTGTCCCTAGTTTTTCAGAATTAATCATCACCTATAGACAGCATGAGAGTAGGCCCTGCCATCTCGAAGTGATAATAATAATTAAATGTTTCGCAGATTGGCAATTGATCGGTGTAGTTGGTGTTGTACACACTGCACTGATAATGATATCACGTTGAACGTGTAATGTAAATATAGTGTGGATATATGCGAATATATATTCTAATAACTGATTTCTTCAACCAGTTCTAAACATTACAATGTAATGTTTGGAACTGGTTGAAGAAATCAGCGAAATTAATTAATTAATGTCATTTAAATTTATACTGCAAATCAGTAAGTTCTTTACTCCAGTTATCAGTCATGTCTAGTCAAGTAATTTTATCATTAAGATGACTAATATCTATAAAAAGAAGGGAGCGTATAGTATTTCGTACAATAGTTACTGTCCACCACCGCAATTTCCTAACATTTTAGAGGAAGTGCAACCACACTCGAAAATCATTCTCCGTACTTTCCCGCAGGTCTTGCTCCAATTTCACTAACGTTACGCCACACTCAAGCCCCACATTCAACGATAAATTCGGCCGCATTTCTTTTTTGGGCAACCGCTCGATTTCCTGATCCACAGCGTTCCAGACATTATCCATCCCATTTTTATCTCTCAGTCTTAAGCAAGTTCTAATTAGCGATTTTTCGTCCTAATTTTAACTCCGCGCATTTAAGACGGTGATTAAACCCGGAAACCACGTAAAATACCTAACGCGAATGTCACCTTAGCAACTAAACAAACAACATCAGGAACGAGACGCTCGTGACCAACTTTAATATCCCCCTCCCAACTGCATTGATCCGTTACAAATTCCCATATTTTTCTCCCTCAGAGCAGCCGGACAAAATCGGGAATATTTGCTGGAAGACACGGTCTGATAACATTGCGAGACCTTTTTAGATGGGCAGACAGATACAGGCTGAGTGCTGAAAACGACAACTTCACTGACTGGGACCAATTGCTAGCTAACGATGGTATGCTGCACACCAGCTTGAGCTGAGAATAAATACTATTCAGTAGTCAGTTTGGCAACAGATACGCTAATAGTTTAGTCAATTCTGTCAGCGTGGGCTTGTATAAAAATCGTATACAATGTAAAAATATCCGTTAATAGTTTACGATTGTCTCATCTAGCAACGATATTAACTAGAAAAATACCGTTATAATGATCGTAAAATTTGTTCTCAGGATACATGTTACTGACGGGAAAAGTCAGGCGGTGCGATGAAGAAGAAATCATAAAGGATGTCCTTGTAAAAGTCTTTAAGCGAAAAATAGATACGAACAGTTTCTTTGATGGGTCACTGGTCTCTTTAGATTTCTTGTCTATGACCGTGAGTAATAAATGCTGGTAGACAGTAGACTTGCGTTCCTTTGGTCGTATAATTATCTTGTTTTCGCGGTATTGGAGCTTATCTAGACTAGATTATATATTTTACTTATAAAAATTCCAGTTTAAGTCTCAGTATGGAAGTTTTGCACGTATTAAAACCAGTATTTTAATTATCAGGAGAGCATTGGTATAGTGTGGACACCCAGTATGTTACGACTGCTGACCCTGGTTAATCGTAGTCTGGAGTTTCAGGAGCCGGTACTTCTCATTGGAGAAACAGGGTAATTATTACTATACTTTACAATTTATTAGCCCTTATTTGTAGTTATTTGTAGTTTATAAACTGACTCAACAGACATGGGCGCTACTTTCGCATTTCATCAGCACATTAAACCGTTTGTACCAGTTCACAAATAAAATTTGCCATCAAGATGTCGTCAATGATAGGTCTGGGAAGTATTTAGTAGTGCTGCATTTCAACTACGGGCTACAATATATTTAGAACTAAATGCTAAGAGTATACGTCATTACGTCGGATGAACAGTTTGAACATCATGAAGCTTTGCAGGGGAAAACCTATCTGATTGTTCCACGCACACTACACAGGGTGAATATTTAATATTATGTTTTAATGTCAAAAGCTCTAATTAATTGAAACCAACTCAGGTGCGGTAAAACCACAATCTGTCAAGTGATGGCAGCCCTGAAGAATTTGAAACTTCACATACTCAACTGTCACATGCATTCTGACACAGCGGACTTTATTGGGAGTCTTAGACCAGTGCGCGATCGTTTGGTGAGAAACATTAAACATTGCTGATGCTTGATTTTGAATAGATCGGATATGGTAATAATTATAGTTGTCTGTTATTGGTATCCAGAATTGGAAATCGATTGTCGTAATTCTTTTTTTTTATTAAGGGAGATAAGCTCTTCGAATGGGTTGATGGACCACTGATCGAGGCAATGAAAAAGGGGGATATGATCCTACTGGATGAGATCTCTCTAGCGGACGACTCAGTGCTTGAGCGACTAAACAGTGTCCTGGAGGTGGAGAGACAACTGACCCTGGCGGAGAGTAGTGAGTCTCTCACCCTCACTGCTCACTCAAACTTCAGGATTATTGCCACCATGAACCCTGGAGGGGACTACGGTAAAAAGGAGGTCAGTTCCTGTCTCTAAAGTCATTTCTGATTCGTTTATTCTCTTCGATCATCTATCGAACTATAGTGGTTTTATCCTCTTCTTTTGCTCTGAAATCACAATATAATTGTAATATTATTAATATTTCCAGCTCTCTCCCGCTCTGAGAAACAGGTTTACCGAGATTTGGTGCAGTGCGGGTGACACACTAGCTGAGATGAGGGCTATCATCCACCATCATTTGACCCATGAGGATAACCGGGATAAGATAAGTGATATGATGGTTCAGTTTATTGGGTGGTTTCAGGAGCATACTTCTGGGAAACAGATTATAACAGGTGACTTATCCTCTGATAACCTTTCAAAATTATCATTGTCGCTCAAAATAAGTATAACAGCGTAACCCACGATGAGATTGTCGTAATAGTTTATCTGATAAACTTATTTTGACATTGAAGCTAAATAGTATTTATGTTATCTGATGTCTGGACAATAAATCAAGACGATGTTTATGTTTCAGTCGATGCTGACTGAATTAAACCTGACTTATTATTCGAGAACTAAATCCACTTACATGAAAATAAGTATAACAGCGTAACCCACGATGAAATTGTCGTAATAATTTATCTGATAAACTTATTTTGACATTGAAGTTAAATAGCATTTAAGTTATTTGATGTCTGGATGATAAATCAAGACGATGTTTAAGTTTCAGTCAATGCTGTTGAATTAAACCTAACGTACTATTCGAGAACCAAAAATCAGAAAATCCCAGAAATTGCCGAAGTTTTCCGCATTTAACAGGACTACTTTCAGTACGTGATGCCCTAACATGGACGACATTCCTGAAGAACACCTCAGAACTACCGACCCCCTTAGTTCAGCGATACCTTCACGGTGCTCACTTGGTCCTGGTGGACGGGTTATCTGACCTGGCACTCAAACACCACTGTCGATCTTACCTGGTGGAACAGTGCGGGGAGGTCCTGGACCTCGCCTGTGAAGTGCGTGTTGCAGCAACTTGGGTAGATTTCGGATCCCTTCGTGTGAAGCGTGGATCCTTAGAGTGTCCTGACTTGGACGGTTATTCTTTGGGAGGCCCAACAACTACCGCTAATATTCTCAGGATTACTCGTGGTCTGCAAGTGAGTTTTGAGAATTAGACACGTTGAGCGAATTTTGAAATTGATTTAGAAAATTTTACTGATTGCTTTTCTAAAAGATGGCAAAAATTAATTATATGGAGTATGGACACGTTCATTGAAGTTTGAGGATGTTGTTAAACAAAAAAAATAGCGTTTTCGACGATAGTGGCTTAATTTTAGCATCTATCCATCTAGCGTGTTCAGAAGTTCTGAACATTAGCCACGTGACCCATACTCCCATATGCACTGCTCAGAACGAAAATGTATTGTTGGCTGTTTAGTTTTTAATTTTCTATTCAGGTCGACAAGCCCATTCTTTTGAAAGGGACATCCTGGAGTCGGTAAAACCAGTTTAACCAGTGCATTGGCTAAGCTGCTAGGATATCGGTTAACTAGAATCAACCTCTCCGAGCAAACGGTAACGGTTACACTGATATTGTTTTAAGTTATCACCTATCATGTCTTTTATTCAGAGTGTTTTTTTTTTCAGTTGTATTCTTCACATTTATTAATACCAAATCTTCTTTGCAGGACATGTCCGATCTGTTCGGTTGTGATTTGCCAAGTGAGGATGGATCTGGGTTTTGTTGGCGGGACGGTCCACTACTAAAAGCTTTAAAACTTGGAAATTGGGTTCTATTGGATGAAATGAATCTAGCTAGCCAAGCTGTTCTTGAAGGTATGAAATCGTTCATGTAAATTTTGATATTATATTTTTGGTAGAGTAATATATTCTCTTGACGCACTATAATTGTGAAACGAATAATCTAATTTGTAATACGTCCTCAATGAAGCAGCTTACAGTTTCTCTAATTAAACGAGCAAATATTCAGGTCTAAACGCTTGTCTTGATCACCGAGGGGAGCTATATGTCCCTGAGCTCTCCAAAACATTCACCATTGGAAACAGCCACAACAAAACTCGCTTCATTGCTTGTATGAACCCGGTGGAGCAGGGTGGCGGAAGGAAAGGTCTCCCCAAGTCCTTCCTCAACAGATTTGTCAAGGTTCGGATGCAAAAAAATTAAAGACCTTTCATACCTTATTTAAGTCAAAATGTTACAGTTTCAATTTCGATAAAATAATTCATCAGAATGTTTTTACCCTGCCACTGCCAAACATAAGCCTTTGAAATTATTACATTTTCACCAACCTTTACTCTTTAGGTCATACTTCACCTCATTTGAAATCTCTCGTAATACTTATTTATAAGTTCACAGTTGCGAGCTGTTACGAAGTGAGACTTAAGCTCAAGTTACCTATCAACTGTTTAGAACTGTCCTCTGCAGTAGCCTGAATTCAGTGTCTCTCTTAAGTAATAGTAACGCGTGTCGCAATCTGCTATTCACGTTCGTGCCGCACTTTGTTGGGAGAAGAAACTAACCGACCAGTAAGTTTACAGTTATACAGCCTAGTAAATAGTTTAATAATGACTTCTGTATATCAGGTTTACATAGAGATGCTGACTAAGGAAGACATGGTCCTGGTATTATCGAACACACACCCGCACATCCCCTCCGAAACTCTGGGCAAGATAATATCCTTCAACTGGTGTATTCATGAACAGGTTTAGAACATTTTACCAAAATAAGATCATTACTAATTTTCAATCCATATCAATATTTCACCATGTCTTGAGACATGATTGAATGGAACAAAATTATTAGATGGCTTGAACTGGATCTTTATTTTTTGAATATTTTTGAAAAAGTAACTTTTTCAGCTATAAAGCGATGAATAAATGTTATTGATGAATAAATTGTTATTATTACCAACCAGGTATGTGTTCGTGGAGAATGGGGGAAGCGAGGTTCACCCTGGGAGTTTAACCTGCGGGACACGAGACGTTGGTGCGATCTCATCTCAGCATATCCCAATGTTCCACCCCCCTACTTTATCGATACTGTCTATACCTCAAAGTTTAGATGTGAAGTCGACCGGGAGAAGGTATATCATACAACTGCATTGTCGGGCCATTTTTGTAGATATTGTAAGATAACCAGTCGTGAGCGTAGTTCGTTGATTTTGAAGTTCTCATACAACTTATTATCTTAGACCTTAGCGCTCATTTAAAGATTTAAACGGGTTGACACAAATTGTCCTCCTTTTCGGGTTGATTTCTACGTTTGTTCTATAACGATTTAATGAGCCGAACCACGTAGAAACCTAATATCGTCACAGTCGATAAAAGTGGTTGACGTTTATAAACAACCTACCGACAATCCGAGACGCCATAACCCAAGTTCCGAAATCTCAAAATTCGCTATTATATAACTCCGTAACAGTTTAATTTTAAACGTTTCGGCGCGGTAAAGTCATGAATTTAAACTCAATACAGATAATCTTCAGGTTAGGAAACTTCGATCTCTGAACTTTCCTGGTGAAATTTCCCGACCAATTCCTCTCCTTATGAGCAGCGACAAGGTTCAAATTGGTCCGACTGTTCTCACCAGACACTGCGCAAGCGTTCCTACAACCTCTCACATCTACAGTCCTCAGCTTGTTGCCATGGAGACTCTGGCACATGCTGTCAAAATGAACTGGATGTCGATATTGGTAAGAAGGAGGTTCAGGTTGTTCGGTGGTTAATAGTATTAGTAGTTTATAGTTGTAGTACAGTTGTAGTAGTTGTAGTAGTTGTAGTAGTTGTAGTAGTTGTAGTAGTTGGAAGATAAGATAGTGCTTTTTTTGACAGGTCACTAGTAACAGTTGTCTGATTAGCTTTCAGCCAACAACTAGACTAATTATCCTCATATCAGTTTAAACTGTCAAAATAAAATATTGGTAGAAGTTGGCAATCGCTTTCTCTAGAACTTCAACTGAAGTACTTAAGTCTTTAAGTGGTTTATGAAATTATATATTCACTCTACAAGAACTTATTTATCTCAGATTGGACCCAGCAACTCAGGGAAGTCGACCACTCTAAGAACGTTTGCGGCGATGTGCGGTAGAGATGTACTGGAGATAGGGTGCAGTTCCGTGTTTGATATAAGTGATCTCCTTGGAGGCTTCAGCCAGGTAGAAACAAGTTCATAGTACGGACTAAGTTCATAGTACGGACTAAGTTCATAGTACGGACTAAGTTCATAGTACGGACTAAGTTCATAGTACGGACTAAGTTCATAGTACGGATTATGTAATACTATAAGTCTAACTGCACTGCAGATGCTCTCACCTATCAATGTCCAGCAACAGGACACTATAAATAGCTCACAAGTGATCGTTTCTCAACATCTACGATCCAACTTAAGGGGGGGGGGGGGGGTTCACCCTGGTTTTTTGTGAAACTTGGTTTCGAGATAGCAGTTGACCAACAAACTAGGACCGGTGACCGAACTTTTGAGGGGGTCCTGGACCCCAACCGCCAAACGGTGCCCGCGGGGCAGCCACGCCCATATTTGATCCAAATTAGGCCTAATTTAGCCAAATACCCCGATCATGCCCAAAACCCAGATTTTAGGTGCTCTACTTTGTAGCTAGTGGTCCCCTGAACTCGTATATGAATTTTCATTTGCCGGCCAAATTCTGAAATTTGCCTGGCATTTTTCAGAATTTGGCCGCCATTTTAAAGGCCTAACCATTTTAAAGGCCTTACTCAAAATTCCATATTAAAACTTAAGGTCGAAATGCGATTCTTCGTTGATTCTGAAAATTTCATGAACAAATATTGAAACCCTATTGAGGTCGATTTTGGTCATTTTTGCGATTATTTGAACATAGAATCCACAGTTAGGTAGATACTGAGCTGATAATCATAAAGAATGTGTAGTACGGGACCCCCTCAAAAGTTCGGTCACCGGTCCTAGTTTGTTGGTCAACTGCGATCTCGAAACCAAGTTTCACAAAAAATCAGGGTGAATCCCCCACCCCACCCCCCCCCCCCCCCCCCCCCCTTAATTGGCCCCTCAGTCCTCACTGCAGATACCTTAGCTTCAGAGGGGTGCACCGTATATCATTTAGCTGCAGTGCAGATGGCGTAACTGCACAGTTAGCCGAGAAATATCTTTGGAAGTTCCCATGGTTTATTGTTTCTGAACAATTAAATGGTTATCACTGCGTCACGCAGTGACTGTGTGTGATCTCATTGAGAAATTTTAATATGCAAGTAGAATTGCTCTGTGCAGGCTACAAGGTTACCAGGTTAAGCATTTTTTTCTACGTGTGCTACCACTACTACTAATATTGTCAGGAATACTTCGGGTCTTCAAGTAAGCTTTGTCAATAAAACTCGTTGAGTGATTCCTTAACTATCTGACCAAAATTGTCTCTAAAAATTAATATTGTGGGGCGTTGGTCGCCTGAAAACTCGCTACCGTAAAAATGATATTCTCAGTATTAAACAATGTTATCAGAACCTTACCGGTTGAGAGATTCCCAGAAATCTTAAAAATTATACTGATTGACATTTATTTGAATGAGTGGTCAACGTAAATAAAACTATTCCGATAAAACCAAACTAATAGAATATAAAAAACATAATAGTCTACTGCTTGAAAGCTTAATAGTAAACTGTGAAAGAGTGGTTAACGTAAATAAAACTATTCCGATAAAACCAAATATCTCTCGCAAAAGGAAACATGCATAAGGAATTAGAAGGAGGCCTAACAGTAACACACACTATAATTACACGAAGTCATTAACTGTGAAATTATGCCAGTGTCTGAGGATAAAGTTGGCTGACTATTAATAAATAATTTAACATGTTTAAGATATCTATGTAAGATCTTCCGTTCAAAATTCTGGGTAAGTTTATCAATTACTAATTTAACATCATGAATAAATTTTTGAATATATGTATATAAAGTTGAAAAATCATATGTACTGACAGACTTTAAACCCTTCTGGGTGTTATCATAACTAAGAAAATTTATATAGGTTCATTATTATCAATAACAAAATAATCATTTCTAACGTAAAATGTATTATCATATATATAATTATTTTTAGCTGAGTGAAGCATAGATTTAATACAAATGCTAAGATAGACTGATAATTGTTGTAAACTTCTTCCACTACCAGACGTTATATATCTAACTCTGACTGGCTTTTTATGCTGTTTTGGTGTAATATATAAATAAGGTAATTTACTATTATCTTCGTCAAATTTAATACGATGTTTAAGTAGAAACGCTTTATGCTCATTAATTATATAATCTTCTGAACGATCAATGCAACTTTAGTAAATGTGGGGGGGGGGGGGCCAACCATATTAAAGTATATTAAAGTATATCCCCGGGTCAAAATCGGAAAAAATCCTACATTTTAATATACTTTAATATACCTACAATTAGAAGATTTATATTCTTCGTTAAGATTTACATGATGAACTATATTTTTCACTCAGATTCGCAAGATAAGCCTGTTTTAGGACTAGTACATGAATTTCCATCCAGATTGGTCAAAAATTGACTGAGCTATGAGCTTTAAAAAATATGCCCATATTTGGGCATACCCTTTTGCCCAAATTCGCTTTTGCCCAAATTCGATAAAATTTCAATATTTTTAATGAGACTAACTCTATGTGAAAGATATAACTCAGTGCTTGTTGAATATAGTGGATACTAAGAAAATTTATATAGGTTCATTATTATCAATAACAAAATAATCATTTCTAACGTAAAATGTATTATCATATATATAATTATTTTTAGCTGAGTGAAGCATAGATTTAATACAAATGCTAAGATAGACTGATAATTGTTGTAAACTTCTTCCACTACCAGACGTTATATATCTAACTCTGACTGGCTTTTTATGCTGTTTTGGTGTAATATATAAATAAGGTAATTTACTATTATCTTCGTCAAATTTAATACGATGTTTAAGTAGAAACGCTTTATGCTCATTAATTATATAATCTTCTGAACGATCAATGCAACTTTAGTAAATGTGGGGATATGATTGTGTATTCGATGATAATTTTTTTTCAATCATACTTATTAAATATAGAACTTTTTACAAACAATAGTAATATTATTTTTAGCTTTATCGGTAGGAACCAATACAAACTCTTTATGTCCTCTATGTCCTTAGAAGGGTATTCTTCTAACGGTTTCTGACTAACTTGAATGTCCTGCACAGCAGTTTGAAGCATCTTTAAATTATTTTTATTCTTATTGTATTGCTGTGTAAATTTAATTCTAGTTCTAATTCTAATCACTATCACAGCTATGAGAAAATACTCAATTATTTGCTAGTGTGACAACAATGGCAATTTTTACGAAGATTCAAAATTGACACAATCTGACAACGAATCTAAACTGTACCAGAAAATACTTTATTGCCCCACAACAGTCATGATTTGTGTTTTGAGATTGGCACTGCTCCTTCACTACCCACCACATGAGCAATAGCTAAATCGAATGTTCTATTTGTTGAGCAACTTGATCACATTAAATAACATAACAAATTTTCAGCAGTGAACTAATATTTGAAATGTTTCAGGTATCCAAATCTGCGTATTTTGAAATAATTCGACAGTTAGTAGATGATTTGGTGAAGGAGCTAATCGTTGTTCAACACGACCATCTCGCCCCTCTCTTGGCTGCTTGCCCGAGATTGCAGAACGACGATAAATTCGAAGAAAATGTCCGGAAAATTCTTAAAATTCTATCTACTGGTTCGTATTGTCTTCTTCGTTCATTAGTTTAACCCTAGCATAGGTAGTGTTGGCTAAAGAACCAATCATCGCCTCTCAAATCTATCACTGTGTTAATTTGAGAAATATCAAAAGGGAGAGGATGTTTGTGTTATTATTTAAATGGAGTATGTTTTACACAGTTCACTTACAACCTTTTCAGGAGTGTTCCCCGTAAAAGTGAATCTCATTTTGGAACGAATCTTAACCGTTATCCGTAAAATTGAGAAAAGTACTGATGGGACGTTTGAATGGAAAAACAGTCGCTTTGTGGACGCCCTTATCGAAGGTACAATTTAGAACAACATAGGAAATTACCGCTATTTTGGCGTTTTTATCTCCGAATTGGAGCCAAAACACCTTCCTAAGTGGGCATTATTGAAGGATGGACCAAGCAAATAGTGTGTAATTCAGGACCTTTGTAAGATCCTACCTTCACTATGATAATTTTATGGATGGCACTTTATGTCTAGTATTTCAAGCTTTTGGGGATCGACATACTTACTACAATTAAATCTAAAATCCCTTTTCATAACTGTTTCTCGGGACCGGTAAATCTCAATTTAACAGGTAGATGGGTAGTGCTTGATAACGCCAACTTAATATCTCCGAGCGTCCTAGACCGACTTAACCCACTCCTCGAACAGAAGGGTGTCCTTGTACTGGATGAGAGGGGGTATGTTAACGGTGAAGCTACGGTCATAACTCCCCACCCAGCTTTCAGGTAACTCATATTATATCCCCCAGTTTTTCTTCAAATGTTCGCTGCCTCATGTCATATACTAATAGCTCATTTAGATCTGGTATCTAAAAGCGTAAGTTAAAATGTTTGATAGTAATAATTGAGTAGTCGCAGAGGTGAAGGCTGTCATGTAAACGGGTAAGAATTAAGATCAATTTCAGTCACGATTAAAGATATTGCAAACTGCCTATTTATTATGTGAACTAAAACGATTACCTTCAGTCACGTTGAAATGAATGATGGTTAGCCAATTACCTAAAATGGCATAAATATCTATTATGCTTCATAAAATTTCATGACATTTTATGCTATTTAGAAATTTAAAATTTGGAAAAACCAATCTTTGTACAAAGTTTCAGCATTAAAGAATTAAAATGATAAAAATGTAATTCAATATTCATCTAGAATCTAAATATCATTTTGAACACAAAAATGAAATATGAACTTAAAAAAATTCCCAGCTCGAACACCACATGGGTCTCCGGTCCCTCTTGTATAAATTTTGTACCAATTTAATAAATTCGGTAGTAAATGTTTAGTCCCTCCAAGCTGATTACGATGCTGTAAAGAATATTTCAGAATAACGGACGCTTTTAAAATTATGTGACCAGTTGCAGTGACCAGACTTTATGCCATTTTAGGTCATTGACACCCCCTCCCCGACCTCGCCCGGACGTTAACTTCGACCTTTATTGACAATCTGATCCCGCAGGTTGTTTATGACAATGGACCCCCGGTACAGTGAGCTGTCCAGGCCGATGAGGAACCGAGGAGTTGAGATATATCTTGACTGTGATTATCAAATCAGAAATAATCATCAACCCCGCCTTCTCCCAGAGAACTCAGCCGCTTTCAATGTTAACCTCTATTGTCATTTGTTAAGGTAAGGACATGTTGATTGTTGATGATGTGCTTCCAGCAAGATTGGTACGACAGCGAAAATATCAAATTTCATATTTGCGATTGAAAAATCTTAATTTATTAGAAGCCGTAGAAGTTATACAATTTTATTCAATAAGATAATAATATGATAAGTTTAACATTTAATCACAGTAACAAAAACGATCCGAGAAATCGTTGAACAATATACAATTTGTGATATTCACTCCATATTAACATATTGCACTATTTCATATCTGAGAGGCTTACCTGGACTATAATTGAGATTAATTGACATAAAATAATTAAGTTATTCAAATTAGACATATAATTTATTTATATACCCTTTAAATTTAGATTTCATCTATTCGAATGAAATAATGTCAAGTAGAATCTTGACGTTCTAATACTATGTTAGAGAACGCGTTTCAAAAAACAAAAGTCCTTGATAATTATGATATGTTCTGTATATTTGAACCCTTAGGTTACAAAACCATCAAAAAAAATCACAGTTACCAACTTAAATCTTACGTGACGCCAGAATATAGGTTACTTAACAGTAAATATCTAAGAATGGCTTTGTTTTGCATTCTGATGAGTAAACTTTGACGTATTCAAAATTGAAAAGTTCTGTAAGGAAAATTGTTTACCTTGGTGATTTTAGTTACAGAATGTGTGTGAGGAACGATCCTATCGATAGCCGAGCGCCATTAACAGAAAATTATTATAATTTCAAATATTTTGTTTAAATTTTTTTTAAATGCTCTGTAAATCGATAAAATTATCTGGAGTATCTGATGATAAATGAAGTAAATGAAAACAACGGTGAAATGTCAAGACACAGTGTCAAAATGATACATGAGATACTGGCTGCAATAAATGAAGATAGAAATAAATCTGACAATCAAAAATAAAATTAAGGCTTATTCAAATTTAGCGAATTAATACAATTTATTTATATCACCCCTAATGTACATTTTACATACTCCCATTGCTCATAATGGAAAATAATGTCAAGTAGAAAAAAATCCTTGGTAACTGTTTCTAACTAACTATTTCCTGTCCGAGACACGAACAGTATAATTTATCTAAAGAACACACTGTGAACTCTGAATGATGTTTCCTTACAGATTAATAATATCTGAGAGAGACCCCTAAAGGTACAAAACATTCAATTAGAAAAGGATCACAAGTGACACCACTTAAAAAGATTTTTAGTGATGCTAGAAAGATGTCAAGCTAAAAAAAGACGTCGACTAATTAAGAATGGCTCTATAGATCTTTGCATTCTGGCGAGGAGGTGAAACATTTGACAGTGATTCAGGAAATTGAATCGCTGTGACGTGTAAGGAAAAATATGTTTAGCCTCTCCGCCAGAGTACAGATCTATTTAGTTTAACATAATCGTTGTGGTGTCATTTGTGAACGATCTCTTATCTGATAAACCGTAGTTCGTCAATGCATAGAGCAGAAAATCGTATTATGTAATATTCAAATATTGCTTTGTTTAAAGTTTTTTTAAATGGCGCCGACATAAAAACGTGAAAACCCTCAGTTCTGTGATAAACTTCCACTTCTTCAGAATTAAATCAAACATTTCATTATCATTTAGACTCAGCCTTAAATTGAAAAATACCAGAAACTCCTAAGTAAAAGGTCCCCCAGCATTTTGTCATGACTCAATGTTTCATTTTTGAAAATTCAACTTTAAATTTAACTTTAAAATGACGATTTAACAATGTAACATATCAAAGGAGCATAATTCAAGTACGCAGCGTGCAGACAAATATTACTTCATTTATCGCCGATAACCGATATTATCGCAACATTGCAACCAATAATCAACTATAAATATCAAACCAAATAGGCAAATAATGTAAATAATAGCAACTAATGGGCTTGTCGTCTTGAAATATTTGAGAAACTCCGGATCGGTGACGTAACGAAGGGCCCCGCCTACCCCGGGGGGGAGGGGGGTGAAATATTCGAGATATTTAATCAAGGAACGTCAATCAACCTCCCCCTAGTCGGGGACTGCGAGGAAACGCAATTCCTCGGACCCTAAATTTAGGGGAAGATCGCGAGCCTCGCACATTGTCATCGAGTGTGGGGAATGTCTTTTCCTTATTGGCCTCACTGAGTTTGCGGTTGTTGGAGAGAAGGAATATGAAGGGGTTGATCAGACCGTTTAGCAGGATCATCACGTAGCTTCCAATCGTACAGTAGCAGAAATCTGTCGAAGAAAACTTGGTTTAAAAAAGTATAATTTTGCTTCACATATTAAAGCAAGTAAATAAATCGACTTTATTATATCTTATTATATAAAGAACTTTCACGATTTGTGGACTAAGACTTATTTAATTGAAACAATTGGTAAAAAATCCTTACCATTAAATTGCAGTTTGGTGAGAAACCAGAAGTTAAACGTTGATGTAATCTGAAAATGGAAGCTCATCAAGATTATTTTAGGTGTTCGAGTAAATCTTCTTACTAAACAAGAATTTCGCTGCGGTTAAACCACCCACGATCAATTTTCCCGGCCCTACGATGTACTTGTACCATTAATTCTTTTGAGTCAAAAGTGTGACTGGAAAAGAAGTGCAACATATTTACACACTATTTTTTTAATAAATGAGTGGGATTCGTGCATGGTAAAAAATGACGATTTATTTGACCAATGTAGAGCCGCGCATCAACAATAAATGAATCCAGAAAATTGTGGAAAATAACTTTGCGAAGGAGGAACTTCACTGTAAGTGTAATTAATTAACACATGGCTAGCGTCGCGCGCAGCATAACAGATGCTTCCTATACATATAATTATAGGTTAGTGGTCTATATTGCGAAGGAGCAGACTTTTGTCGTCAACGTAGGACCGTCGGGCCACCTCATATATCCAAACCCGATTACTTATTCCCTACGATCTTTTTGCCTTCGGCAAGAGCAGGGAAAAAATGGAGCATAAAATAATTAAATTATCTATGATGTAGTCATGTTATGTGTCTACGAAGGATGCACTTAAACCTACCCTTAAACTACCCTTAACTAACTACCCTACCTACTGACTATTATAAAAAATCCACCAATTTGATTAAATGTCCAACCGACCTGTTTGTTCAAGTAAAAGTGTTGGATGTATTTTATCAATATTTCCACGCAAATGGACCAGTATGATATATAGCAGATGAAAAAGAGCGACATCACCAGGATAGTCGTCATGGTTGCGTGTTTCAGCCATTTGCCTCGTCCGTCACTCTCGGGCGACTTCTTTTCTTCGTCCTTTTCCCTACAAATCAGTAAAATTATTAGGCATCATCGTGAGGCTTTAATAAAATTGAAAAGATAAAAATAATATACGACTTCATATACTTCAACTTGTCTGTATTTAGTATTATAACCTATTTTAACGTGAAGATAGTTAATGGTCAACAGATTAGTAATCATGGCGAAATAAGGTTTCTTTGTGGGTGATCCTGGACTTACCTCTTTTTAGTCAAGATAGCTGACTCGTTTGTTATCGTTCCCTTGTTATCAGTTTGTGACTGCGATACAGATTCCATCTGTAATGCAGAACGAGCCTGAAATTTAGAGGTCTTGATAACTGATAAGGCACTCTTTTGAAGTCCGTCATACTAAAATGATGAAATCGAATAGATTCCTAGTTATCATATTGATTGTAAACAGGATTTTAGGTTTAACTCACCATTGTAAAAGCCTTCCTACGTTGGCGTATCTTACACATTGTTGAAACAATGCCGATGTACATGACGATGATGAGAATCCCTGGCACCATGAAAGGCACGATCACGAAGAATAGATGCGCCCATACGATTATTTTTCCATCTGGCACGATCTGGGTAGAGAAACTGGTTTTAGCCTCCAAGTTTAAAAAGATAAATGAGAGGATCTGTCGAGTGACGAGTGACTATAACCTAATCGTGATTATAATCTAACTGTTACCAAGATGTAACCCTGTTCAGGACTTTAACAGGGTTACATCTTGGTGACAGTAACATAATATGGTGGCTATACATCACGTGACATAACAATAGCGTCTAAGATCTACTACAACTGAGCTAAGTTGACAATTTTTTGATGATAATATCTAAGACTGCAACACTGAAAACATGTACCAATGCCGAGAACAAAAGTGAATAAATTAGGTTATAAACAGTGATTTAGAATATCTGATACCGCTTTACAGTCCCTCATTAATGTTAGGACGGACATTAAACATACCTCATGAACAGACCAGGAACAGACTGCAAGGTACTCGCTGTAAACATACTTCTTTCCCTTCACGAAGGGCGCTATCGAGACCAATATTGGGAGGATCCAAGCGACTGCTATGAACTTCTTGATGAGGCAGCTGTGGATTACTCTTTTGAAATGGATTGGCCTTGTAATGGCAAATAGTCTGACCACACTGAGACCTGTAAGTTTAATATTGTTAGTAATGTTAATAACTGCCAACAAGGTGTCTCATTCGTAACAAGGTGTCATCCCTTACATTTAATCACGTACATTACGCTTATAGAGTATAATTACGACTAGGGATTAAGACGGTACCGTCATACACTCACCCAGGATAGAAAGCACGGCTTGTCGTGTTGTCACGTTAAATGTGAACCCTGTGAGGTTGCAGATTATCTCACTGAAAACACCAGATCCCATGGTTCGTCCGGCTGCAATACTGCCGAATGCTGCGATCATCGGCAGCAGAGTGTAGAAGAGGTCACTGAGCGCCGTGCTGAAATCAGACACAATTAGAGGATGAACTAGTGAGATAGTTACCGTGAGCTATTAATAACTTTCCTGCTGATCATTATAATGTCCTGCATATTTGATATTGGTAGTAGTACAATTTAATTTGCCCACAACTGTCTGTGATTTATACTAGGTGCAGGATACCTGGTTGCTATTTAATTTTGCCTGGTAATGCCGGCAATATTCATATAATATTAATACTATTTTCGGATGCACGGTCATTATAGAGAAACCACGAGTTGGCTTGGGATGCCTATACAGTTGTAGCAAATCGACAAATTTTGTTTGCCAAAATTAGGAAATGTTAGCCTTTTGGTATGAAATTTAACTTTACTTGTTGTCTTAGTTTGAGGGAAAAAAATTAGATGTGACAAAAAAGCATTCAGGTTATTCTGAAATTGCTCATTGGTTTACGTTCCGTTACTTAATAGAATAAGATCATCATCACGTAATTTAGAAACATAAACTCTAGTATTTTTGCACTTCCTTTACAGACTATTATGGAACTATTCCATTATATATTTAACAGGTTATGGAGATAAACACTACGTCATGCAGTATGAGTAATGAACTATTTTTATTGGAAATGCGTTGAAGATTTGTATATTTTAAATAAAGAGCAAATCCGGTGCAAACTACCATCCAGTTCGAAGGGGGAAAAATGCTGAAAAACCCGCCCAGTTCCCAAATTGAATACTTAAAAAAGCTGATCCGTTCTGTCCCAGTTGGTTAAAAATAAAAGTCTCACTTGAATATGATGTTGAGAGTAGGATTCTCAAAACTGGATGGACTGAGAATCTTCTTGATTGTTGTGACAGTCATGAGGTTGAGACAGGTGGAAACTGCAACCAGTAAAGCGATTGATATGCAAATGTAAACATCTACACTCTCCGAGAACATCTTTTCGGGCTCCATTGTATTGTCTTTTGATCTTGCTAATGGAATAGTTTTCGTTAAATCAATGGTGTTGATAATAGAACAAAGGTCAAACAATCTGTTGTGAACGATAAAACTGCTAGTCCTGTGACGTGGGGTAAGTACACTTTGGGCAATTGGGTTGTACAGGGTGGGCCAAAAGTCAGTACCCATACGTTGGCCTTAATAGCTCAGTCACTGAGTGCCCAATTGAAATAATTCTTTCTGGTATGACTTACTACCACCACTGGTTCGAGGAATTTGTCAAATCGAAACATATTCGTGTTCATTTTTTTCAAATGAAGGTTCATTTTCGCATTTAGTTGATAGTTTGGATAGTCGGATCGAGCCAAATTTTATTGATATGGTGTTTGGCCATTTAAATTACGTTTGTCCTGAAAAAATGAGAGTTTTAGCTTCTCAGATGACCAAGATATGACACATAACGAGTTTGTTCATTACGTGTGATCAGGCGATTGGGTTGAGGCTAGATCCGCGTCAGCATTATGGGAGTCGTGCAGAGAGCCCAATTATCACCGTGCCCACAGAATGCAAATCCTGCTAGCTGCACGCCAGGACTCCCAAAGTATATACGAAATCATAAAATAATAAATATCAATGCAACAGACCCCTGGAGTCTTGAAGCTGTCGCTACCTGGCTCAGAGCAAACCCACTTCCGTTGTAGTACTTCTGCGGGCAGACAAGGGACTTCCGAGCAAGGTCAAAGCCTAGGAGATATGTCTCTATGCAGAGATAGGCCTAGGTTGAGTTCTTAGTGTGGGATTTAGCGAAAGTTCCTGGTGAAGAATCCAAGGAGGTTACCCAAATAAGCAATTCAATGTTGATTGGGTGTGGCCCCCAAAAATCGAATTTTACAATTTTGGTGACGGAATCCTCGAACAAGTAGGTTTTTTGACACGTCTTGAAACACCCTGTACGAAAATTATGATGCTCATGAAAACGAAACCTTCGTAGTTTACTCATTTTGACATTCACGTGTCTGCAGTCAAGGTAGGACCAGTGCGAAGTGTCTCGACGAGATTTGACAACTAATATTGGGTTGAGGAAATAGGCATAATTTATAACGTTTGGAATTTAAAACAAGTTTGATTATAGGGTGCGATACTTATATAGCCAACCATGCCGACCTATATCGTTATGTCATGGCAACGCGTTATGATCATATTATGTTTTAAGGGGGGGGGGCCAATGGGTATTTTTTTGTGAAACTTGATTTCGAGATAGCAGTTGACCAACAAACTAGGACCAGTGACCGAACTTTTGAGGGGGTCCCGGACCCCAACCGCCAAACGGTGCGCGCAGGGCAGCCACGCCCATATTTGGTCCAAATTAGGCCCAATTTAGCCAAATACCCTGTACATGCCCCAAACCCAGGTTTATGGTGCTCTACTTGTAGCTAGTGGTCTCCTGAACTCGTATATGAAATTTCATCAAGATTGGACAAAAAATGACTGAGTTATGAGCCAAAAACCATATGCCCATATTTGGGCATACGCACCAAATTTGGTAGATTTCGTCCCATAAATTGGTCAAATATCAATATTTTTGAATGAAACTTACTTTATATGAAAGGTAAGCCTAAACTACATATTCTCTGTAATTTATAGCTTTATATCTGTTTAAATGTGGATACTAAGGCGAAAAAACCACAAAAAATGAACTAAATTGCCCATATCTCGGTTCGCGATATTCGCGGAATTGATCTCACCAAAATTGTAACAACTCAATCAGTTTTCAAAATTTTTGCATGAAATTTTTGGAATCGACTCGAAATCGCATTTCGACCTTATTTTAAGAACGGATTTTTGATTTAGGCCTCAAAAAAAATTTGGCGGCCAAATTCCAAAATTATATTACAGAAATTCAGAATTTGGCCGCCAAATTTTTTTTGAGGCCTAAATCAAAAATCCGTTCTTAAAATAAGGTCGAAATGCGATTTCGAGTCGATTTCAAAAATTTCATGCAAAAATTTTGAAAACTGATTGAGTTGTTACAATTTTGGTGAGATCAATTCCGCGAATATCGCGAACCGAGATATGGGCAATTTAGTTCATTTTTTGTGGTTTTTTCGCCTTAGTATCCACATTTAAACAGATATAAAGCTATAACTTACAGAGAATATGTAGTTTAGGCTTACCTTTCATATAAAGTAAGTCTCATCCAAAAATATTGATATTTGACCAATTTATGGGACGAAATCTACCAAATTTGGTGCGTATGCCCAAATATGGGCATATGGTTTTTGGCTCATAACTCAGTCATTTTTTGTCCAATCTTGATGAAATTTCATATACGAGTTCAGGAGACCACTAGCTACAAGTAGAGCACCATAAACCTGGGTTTTGGGCATGTTCAGGGTATTTGGCTAAATTGGGCCTAATTTGGACCAAATATGGGCGTGGCTGCCCTGCGCGCACCGTTTGGCGGTTGGGGTCCGGGACCCCCTCAAAAGTTCGGTCACTGGTCCTAGTTTGTTGGTCAACTACTATCTCGAAATCAAGTTTCACAAAAAAATACCCATTGACCCCCCCCCCCCCCCCCCCCCCCTTAAGACGTTATGCGGTGGTGTATTTTCAGAAGCAACATGTTTATATATGGTTTATCAAAAATTCCCTGGTAAATATTAATGTGGTTTTTCATTATGGTTTTTGACTGATTGAAATGCGACAGATATAATGTTTGAAATCCGAAATCAGGACATTAATTTCGACGGAATAGGATCTGACAGATTGTTAAACAAAAAATAAAAGTCATGATATGTAATTTTAAAATTAAATAAACTCGTCTATAATACTCGTTTTTCAAGCAGATTTAATCTCCACCGGGCTGCATAACGAGAACTAACCTCGACCGTGACAGAAATGCCTTCCTTGTTAAATTATAAAATGACAGCCCTATAGTCAAGTTGTACTAGTCAAGCTGTACTAAACGTTTAAGCACTACCAATACCGCTATTATAACCACTTTTATTCTATTTCTAGAGCCCCAGCATAGCTTTTTTGCACATTTCGCATGTCATGTCAGGTATAATTGAGTTCACGAAATGTTACTGGATTTCCACATTTGATTGGTTATATTAGGTAACTTAACCCTAATGTATTGGTATAATGTTACGCCTATTTAGTTCGTTAAAATCTTAGTTCATTAAAATCTTAAACAGTTTCACTCACGAACTTCATAATGTCGATAAACAACAATACAAGGTCATTATCAAAGTATAGTAGTTAAGTAGGTATAGCAGTTTCGTAACAATTTCTAATCGCAAATAAGTTATGAAGTATTAAAGTTGATTTCAATTTCCATTCTTTCAGGAAGCTTTCATATGAGAATACAGAAGAGGTGATGAGGAATATTCTAGGATACCTCCCCATTTCAACATGGTCCTTAATACTCGCTACCTTTGGAAATAAACTTTCCAGTGCTTTCGTGGATTCATTGCGCAGCTTTATCAAGTCAAAAGGTTTGGAGAGAAAAATTGCATATCTGCTTATTATGAAACTATACCAAAATTTGTGGAAGATATTTTCGCTGTTACCTTAAGAACCACTAATGACTAATTTAGTCTACCATAAATTTAGTCAAACTTTTGACTAAAATTGTTGTAAACCAAATTTCTTGAGACTAAATTTTTCGGCGACTAATTTTAAAGCAGACCAAAATTTCAGTAGAGCAAATCTGAGTATGACATGAATATTATTAAGCTAAAATTGTTTATAATTAATATATGACATCACCGTTCGTACTGCACAAAACTGTACCAAAGTCCTATTGCAATTAAAGGGTTAGAGCTCCTCTTGGATATTACATTTTTAATCGATCCATCCCAATGCATGCTCTGTTGAAACGACTGAAGGATCATATCGACATAAACTACGTCGTACCGACAAAAATAGTAAAGTCGAAAAAGGGTGAACAAGAAACTGAACAGTGTACTGAAGAACTTAGTGATACAGAGTCGCAAACTCTGGATCTGATGTTATTGAAATTCCTGAGTAATGCATCGCAGCTTAATCTGTAATGCTCAGACGGGGTAGACTAAATTTGTCGTTCTTAAGGTAAATGGAATGGAAAATGGTCTCGAAAGTCGAAAAATGTGACTAAAATTGTTGTAGACTAAAAGTTTGCGAAATTTGTGACTAAAATTATGGTAACCAAAATTATGGTAACCAAAATTATGGTAACCAAAATTATGGTAACCAAAATTATGGTAACCAAATTTATTGTGAACCAAATTTATTGGCCCTACGGTAGTTTATTGGCCCTAAGGTAGTTGTTGCTGCAAAATTAGTCTTTTGCTGAAACACTCTGGTGAGGCTCAGTGAGTTATGCCATTATTCTATCACAATTTCGAGCTTTTAAAGTTTTAAGATGCAGCTTGCGTCGCAATTCTTGGAAATGTAATAGCTCTATCATAATTGCTAGCTTTTAGAGGTCAGCTTCTCGCGTTGAGGGTATGGACATAATTGTAGACATAGCTATATTGAATTTAAAATGTTAATGGGATACAAATATCAACAGCTAGTGGATTCGATTGCTATTTCTAATATTAGGTGCTGGGCCCCAAAAAATAATTTATAGTTTCAGTCGACTGATTACTTTGCTACAAAATTCCAAGACATGGATCAGCCTGTGACTAAACGCATAAACAAAATAAAACAACCTTTTCCCTTGTGGTGTTGCAGTACCTGGTATCCTTACCGTCACGCAACAGCCATGCTAAACCGTGACACCCGAGGAATTGACGGGCCTCTGATGCATTAGGCAAAGATCAATTTCCAGATTGATTAATAGACATTTCAACGATGACCCGAAAACGTCCATAAAACCACGTCCAACAAAACACGTCCAACAAAACATGTGCGTGGTCGTAGGTTTTCAAGGTGTAAGCTGCATAATACAAGTGGGTGAATTGATGAGATTGGAGTCTGGGCTCACCTAGCTTGAGAGGTTCTGCAATTCTTCAGAACCACACGTCGCCTTAATTTCGTATTATAAAATAAGCTGCCGAATTTCAGTCCCCAAAATGGGTCCCTCAAGAAAGATTAAGGAGCCATATATCCTTCTGTGAGTGCAATGTTTATGCAAAAATGTACCCATGTTTGATGTAATACCCTTAACGTTAACTCAAGGAAATTTCAGAGGGTCACATTGACCTCACTCCAAGCGACTCAAAACTAAGCTCATGGACTGTTAAACCCAATTCTTCATTCAAGTAAGTTTAGAAGCGTTAACAGTAATCATTTGTTGGGAAACCTTTGAATCTTCAAGATATTGATGTACACGAAAAATCTATCTTGGATTGCTCATAATTTGTTTTTTAGGTGTTACAACAAGTTTGTGTGTCTAAGTTATGATCTGAGTACGATGAGCAACAGCAAAACTCTCACTGAATTGGGAAACAGCCTGGCAGCGGTTGAGTGGACAGATCTATATCTCTTCAGGAAATTTTTGCTTTTGTTCAAAATGTTAGTGAAATCTTCATTATCGGCATTATTGCATCACACAGAGAACAGAATTCACTTTAAGTTTAAAAGTTGCAATTTTACCGAGCTGCATCAAAATGTGAAAATTGGCAATAAATCCACAGCATTGCTAACAAACGATGAACTTTTTGTCAATATAGAACTTTAAATACTTTAATAAATCGAAGAATTGCTCGATCGAAATCAGCCAGTCATGCCGTGATGCAGTACGACGTCAGATCTATTCGATAGTAAGATTAATAGTAGCCACAAATTTACTGGCGACTATCCTGTTCAAACAAACCTATCATTGTTTAATTTATCTGTACTACCTTAATTTTAATGGAACTTTTTAATTTTTATTGAGATGGCACGCTTGGTGTATATGAGTGGTTCCTCTATACAGTAATACCCCGATTTACCGCAGAGTTTGGGGAAACGAACTAACCGCAGTAAATCGGGGTTAGTGGTAAATCGGGAGCTATAAAATCGGGGTTTTACTGTATACCGCTTGATAAATAAAGTTTATTCGGCACGGCATGTTGGGCAGTCATATCAAACTCTTAACCGATTTGTTAACGCTAATTATAGCTGATTGCTCCCCCATAAATCAATCTACAGATGTTTTATCGGTACATTATTTTAAATATTAGTACATGATTTCTCAACGAAGTGATCTTGGTACAATTTGCCAGTTGTATTTATTATGGTATTTTGCTGAAACTTCTTGGCGGTTGCTTCCTGAATTTGGAATCCTTTAAAATGATATTTCAATTTGCAACAGCCACTTGTTTTTTCAGGTTCAGTAAAGGCGAGAATGGAACGCTCTGGTGGGAACTAAGAGAGGCATTACTCGACCACCCACTATCCTCCCTGTACGACGACCGGTTTGGGTCCTCCAGGGACGATGTTCATTGGCACCTGGTGGAGATTGTTGGCCATCCTCCCCTGGTTCAGTCAGAGGAACTTGGCTGCATTATCGTAAGTTGTGTGACGTAATCAGAAATACGGCCATTTTGATTTCTGCAAATAAAATTAAACAATGTTTCGGTTGTAGTAGTAAGTAGTAGGTTGTCTGGCAAAATCGAGTATTCTTGAATAGTGTTAGCCTTTTAAACTCATTAAACTGTCTTATTTAAATGCAGTATAACATTGTTTTACTGAAAAATGGAAATTGCACGATCAAATACCGGTAGTGGAGGTACGATATTATAAATAAAACTACAAACGAAGACTTGCAGTACAAACAATTAGTTACCGAGTAAATCGAAGCCCGGTAACCGACGATCATCCACAGAATTAAAAATGTCGTCTCGATTGCTGAGTGCTGAAGCAGGTAGCTGGTATGACAAATCACACGATGACGATTTGTTTGACTCTATAATTTATATGTCTCGACATCAAACGAGACGAAATCTACTTTAAGAACTTAATTTTTGCTTCTGTGGAAATGTTAGAAATAGCGGCATGAGTGCATTACCATCTACCATTAATTTCTCAGTGGCTCACTGCAAGAGTGCAAGAGGCAGAATTTTAAATATAAAACGTCCATCTTAAAGCTTTACAGGGAGGAGAGGAGCTACTGTCTTCAATAGTATCTTATTCATTTCAGATCAAGGACACTCATTGCGAAATTAAATTTGTTGGTTTGAAAGCTGGCTAGGAAAAGATTAAATTTTAGTAGATTGTAGTATAGATCTGAAAATCCCAATATCATAGCAGATTAATTGACAGAATTATTCACCGGAAAATAAAAAACAAAAATCATCGTTCTAACACATACTAAAACGACACAAAATCTTGTTACCACCTGGGTGGGCCAACCCAATACCTCAACTCGCATGGCACTTGGATAGTATAGTTAGATGAGGTAACACAGCTCTTACAGCGGAACACGCGTCCGATGAGCGTGAGGAGCGCAATTAGATACCATGGTAACCATGAAAACGCGATACAACGCCTGTACTTGTATTGTGACGCGTTTTACTAGACAACTTTGATTAACTCAGTGAGAATCTAGTAAAATTTGCAAAGATATACTTAATATTCATTCAAACCTAATAAAGCTAAGAAATACGAACTTTATTCCACGCAAATATGTTGACAGCTTAAATAATCCGGAAACCTTTTGATGTGCTCGATGTTAAACCGTTAAGTGGTCCAAGTAGCAGGATAGTTGCTAGTCAGCTCCAGGTTGATATCAAATATCAAAGTCGAATATTCGAATATTCACCTGGAAGTGACTCAAAATGTTCATATCATGGAGCCAAGGTGTAGACTAGCCACAACAGCTGGCTAAAACGGTCATTACCAAACATGATCACATACTACTCAATAAGTGTTATATATTTGTAGTTTTGTTATTAGTTTTAAATATTCTACAAAGTACGTTACAAAGTAGTTCAATTTAAATATTATAAAGATGAATACATTGCAAACAACTGAATAGTTATCTCAAAGAACCTTCATTAAAATCGAATATATTACAGGATAGTTATTTGACGGAGTGTGACGTATTCACTAGTCACGATGATGCGTTTCTGCAGATCATATTCGAAGGAATAACTCCTGACCAACGCAATCAAACGGTGAACTCGAGTGTGAAACCAGTCGAGGGTAACTGTGACAACAATGAAATACCTAATTCGACGGGGAAGGAATCCTCACGAACCACTGGACTGGCTCTGTTGTTAGCGGAGATTTTAGTCACTCCCACCAACCTGTTAGTAGAGCCTACGTAAAACTTTCCACATATTTAAACACAATTCATCAGACAACCCTAATATTTTCTTGTAAACTCCATTTAATGTCATTGAAATTACACCTAACAACTTCATGAAACCGCCCAAGATCCACTTAAATGACAGAACTCACAGAAGTCTACACAAGAAGTCATAGCTAACCCATATCCTTGTAGTGTACTGGTTACCAATACAAAAGGCTTTCTATCATGCAATCAAAAGAATCAAACTCCTTGATTCTCATTTCCCTTAACTAAATCACATTACTGGTCTTATTAAATAACCTTATTCCCAGCAATTATACACCAAAGAAGGATAGTATTATATATTATTCTGTTGATCTGAATATAATAGTATAATATCATAAGGTAATCATAATCGACCGATCACCTCGCCATGGCCCGTGTCCATTGTCCAAACGCTTTCTTCGGTATATTGTCTCGATTATTTTATTTTGATTTGATGAGATTTTTATCGGACCTTAGATTGTATAGACACAGTTCCTTGAGGTTTGATATTACTTTATTTTGAGCTATGGTCACGTTACACGAACGGCTGGGCGTACCTAATGTTAAAGTTTAGTGGCGGAGAAAAAATTATCAAATAGAAATAAGAAATACAAAAAGTTACGAAACCTTTTGACTCGATTACAGACTCGAAGGAGTCTATAGATTATCACTCGGACTAGCAGCAGCAAGGATTGCCTTAGATTAGATATGAACTCGATTTGAGCAAGAAGTTGATTACTGTTCACTCACGTGACCCGTGAACATGACCTCTGCTATAACTCGAGAGACTGTGGGATACTGAAGGGAAAGGAAGCAGTTCTAACGAGCTCTTCTCAAACACAAGGATATATCTTGTGAACTTGGCTAGTATATATGAAACATTTGATATGGAGTTGTAGAGGGAGTTATGTGCCTCGCCGGGCTAAAGTAGTGGATGACCTTGCTGTACGGCAAGTTAAACAAGGATCTGAAACTACTAGGTTCCGTACAGACTCAACTCTGCACCCGTGTCAATATGTTCATTATATGCAAGCCTCTTGATTTATAATCATTGATCAAGTCGATATATAAATCAGTCCATCAAAAAGGATCCATGCTGATAAATTGGTTCCACTTGCAAGGAGTCCGCACAACTTACAAACTATTAAGAAGAGTGGTATAATTAGTGATAAAATAATTTACAATTACCTTTTTATCAGTAACGAAGACGATAAGAGAGCTATTAGGAGTGCAGTGTTTCCTCACGTCTCACCGTATTTAAGATGGTCTCTCAGAGCATTCACGGGACAATCTCAACATCTTACGGATATACTTGCTTATCTGATCTACAAAACGTCTGATTCGGTAGGTCTAGTTTTACTAAGATAATGGAGACAGTTTCCAGTGTGATTCATGAATCAATTGGATGAACAAATACTTGATCGATAATTATAACTTTTGTTTTCAGGTTGATTCAAATGGCAAAAGTTTTAGTAAAGATCAAGATACGGTGCTCGATGTCCCATCAATGTGTTCCTTTGACGAATGGACCAAGAATCTCACACAAACAATATCAAACCAGATCCTTCGCTCGCTTATCGGGGGATCTTCAATAATGTAGGTGGAATAAAATGCAACAAAATAACCTTCGTAGAATATCATGGTGCTTGAGTCGCTTTGCGACGGAAATTGATATTTCGTCGTCTACCCGATCATTGGCTAACTATAAATTGTATGCTTAGTTTACTTCCATTTTACCGTAAAATACCATTTTTACCCAAATACCTTGTTACACTGGTCGTCTGGGCAATTACAGGAAAACGGAGCATTTTAAAATACCAGCGCTGATTTTATTAAATTGTTATAATTCAAGTAGCATGAGCTAAACTGCCGAGGCATAAAGTTTAATAATGTAGTTTCCAGAATATTCAAAAAGAAAGTGTGCTCTTTTATAAAGATAACGGAGTTTGTAGACCACCCAAGTCCAGGTATTGATAATACAATGTACTTGGCAATGATGGATCTAGCAATTACTATCCGTTCAGTTTAATCTTTCAGGAAGAACTTGCGGCACGCACGCTTGAAAACAATAAGAAGTGTTAGCGGTAAAAGGTGAGTTTCACTCTCATTCCCGCGTAATGATTAAAAAATACTCTAATAATGTTGTATGCTTTCTGCAGACTTTAGAGAAGTTAAGCGTCCTTTTTGGCTTGCCAAATGAAATTTTTGCCCGTTGGCAAGACCCGGTGGCCGGTAGGTCTATTAAAGAGTAAAATTACCCGGAAATTGGAATATTATAAATTCTTGTTCGATCGGGGAATCACAATTATTGTGATTCCATAAAAAGATTTCATTTGAGATCTGTTCAGAAATTTCGTTCGAAATAAAAGACGTCCAAAAATGCAACTCGATTTATGACCAAAATCGGCGTAAGGGTACGAACTTGCGCAATTGATAAAAAACCACCCCTTACCGCATTAAGTATAAATGATCTTCAATGATGATAATCAAATTATAATAACAATACAGTATAGAGCATTGCTAAAGAGTTTCTTACAATTGTATTTAAATATGTATCATGAATTACGTTATCGTAGAGGCGCACATGTTTGATGTTTAGAATTGTTTATCGACATAAATATTTATCGATAAATTGCTGTATAAAATTAAAATGTGACTTTATTTATTATTTATTTATGACTCTTTAGGACGGATGCGGGGACGGTGGATTCGCTGTTGGAGACCATGGAAAAGACTTGTTTACTTAGTAAATCAGATCCTGTGAAGCACTATACCATCCTCCACAATTTTACCTTGGCATATGTAAGTTCTATTTATTGTTATTCAGATGACTATAAAACAGAAACCATAACGTAGGATGATGCTCAATAAAACTGAAAATCATTAAAAACCGTTTTATTTAATTGTTTTGACGCGACGGTTGTCTTATGTTGGTACGTAACCTACCCTTGAGCTTCTCAAATATATGGATTGTTCGGCATTCCATTTAGCCACCCACGATGGCAAGATACGACATCTTGGGTGGTTTAAGGGGGCCGGGGGTCTTCATCAAAATGCTCTCTATATAGTTGTTTCTTAAAGATGGGAGTGATATCTACCAGCTGCTTTTGTGTCCCATGGAAAAATATCGTTCCTAGCCGAAATTATCGCCTGAAGCTTTCAGGATATGTTCTAGGGACCATTTAAAAGAGATCGCTCAGACACAATTTTGAGATGGGCCTTTGAAAATGTTTTATTTGATTTTGAAGATCGTGGACCTCAAAAAATCGTCAAAAAACGAGGTCGAATGCCGAACAATCCACATAATATTAAAGACTGGAGAGCTACGACAGAATATAAATAGTTAGCAGTGAATGGGAGCACTGGCCACTGTATCCTTTCAGATGTTCACTATTTACTTGACTAAGAAGATTGAGATTAGGCTTCAGTTAATCTTTGCTAAATTTGGTTTAATGATAGAATATAGACGACACAAAACCATATCTTGGTGTATGGGTCCTTTAGTCACACAGGTTGTTACAACAATCGCCCTAGAACTTTCTATTCAGGTGGAATTATTGGAGAACCACCGAAAGATGCATTCCTCGATACAGAGTCACGCTCAAGGGGGCGCCCAGGTACCGGAGTCCGCATATCCATATACTGTTATCCATGAACATCTGGAAAGAGCTAGAACCACTGTTGGTGAAACTGCCTGTAAATTAGGGCATCGTCCTGGTCAGGTGAGTGCAAAGTGGGACCCAAATAATTTGTAGAACTAGCAAAATTCTTACTATATAGTGTATGGTTGAAATTTATATATGGTTGAAATCTACATTATATATGGTTGTAATTTGAATCTTCTGCGGATGAAACCATCACAGGATTGATTTTGATAACGTTGATCCAAATCTTGATTCATTTTGTCATTCCTAACTTGAGATTCTCGACCTTCAGCCTAGTTACAGTGATCTATCTGAGGAGTTGGCAATCTTCAACCGTATTGTTTGCCAACGGGCTAGCGAATTGAAAGGAGATGAAGCTAAAGTGGAATCTTGGATGAAATCTGTCGGAACATTCGTCTCAAAAACCTATACCAAATATTGGCACTACAGAGACGTTCTGGCCCCATTTGTGGTAAGTTCATATTTTTCCAAATTTGAATAATTATGAATGAAAACAATGTTGTCGTTCAATTGAGAGAGGTTTGTCTTATTGATTATTAATTATTATTCATCAAACCAGGAAAACTACTTGCCGTTACAATCAATCCCACATCCAGAAACACGCCATCTTGCAAGGCAGCCTGGGAGGAAATTTTTTTTTTGGGAGGAAAAACGGGAGAAAAAGAGGAAATTTTTGAGAAGTTACTCCTAAATTTCGAAATATTTTTTTGGAATAAAGACAAATTAGACAAATTTTTGAAGAAAATGTTTCGATTGTATAAAAATCAAAGAGGAACATCCCGTCAGTTTTGGAACACAGTGAAATATTCTGATTGGAGAATGCAGATTGCTGTTGTGAAGTTACCAAATTTACGTGAGTACTTGATTCTTTTCAATCCCAGTTTATTGCTGTCCTACAAATTTCTTTAATGCCAAATTCCGTCTAAAACACCCTACTTCGCAAAAAATTTCCGGGGGCTGCGCCCCCTAGCCCCCGCCAAGGGGCTCCGCCCCTGGACCCCGCTGGGGGCTGCGCCCCCAGACCCCTGCCACAGCTTGCTTGCTTCGCTCTCTGTGCAGCTGGATTGGACATGTCGACTCGCTTCGCTCGCCGGCAGCCCCCCCCCCTCAAACTTGCGAGCGAAGCGAGCGGGCCACAGAATTTAGAAAAAACGCATCTGGGAGGAAATATAAAACTTTCTGGATGTGGGCAATCAATGCCAGGTTTTTCTGATGAAAACTAATTTGTCTTCGTATTTATTATTCTGAATTATTCTTTCGCAGATAGCTCTATATTGTTTGTATCGAGCGATCGAAGAGTCAGTAAAGCTAACAACTCCGAAAAAACAACATGGTTTCGTGTTATTCGACCGCATAGACCGGCTTAACCAAGTGATATCTTCAAGTTTGCAGGTAATTTATTTCAAATAAATGATTGAATCTTCTTGTTGTTCGGTATTCCAAAAAGTGTTTCACTTCATTTAGGGAGGGTGACTGATAGAGTGTGTTTCAAGTCAAATTTTTGTGGACAATTTTCGAAGAGCAACTGCGTAAATTGTGGCCAGCAGAAATGCGCGACTAATTTCAGAATTCCACCGGTCCAGAAACTCGTATTACCAGCGATTTTATTAGCTGGTTTTATTAAAAACTACCTACTAAACATTGAACATCTTCAAAGGCATTGGCGGGAAAGTTCTCTGAACGGAACCCAGCATATTAAAATGGAATTTCATGACGTGCTTAACAATAATTCTAACTGCAAAGGTATTAGGTGAAGAATGAACATTTCTGAACGCTATACTATGTAACGAGACTGTCAGCCAGCAGTATGAACTGTTTGAAAGTTGAAGACGTGATTAATTGAGTAATGAGAGGCACATGGCGTGGGCGCACGTCACTTTTTCAACGTGACTGAGATCTGGAAAATTAGAATTTGATTGATCTCTCGGTGGCTGCAAGTTGATTAAAAATACTACAGCACCACTTAACTTCTAGCTCCATGTCTACAACTGCAGTAATTTTATGACTAAGGGGCCATCTACTTAGGACTTGACTGACTGACTTAAGGCGGCTTCAGCGTCCGAGTAGAGACGTCTACTTAGGACGTCCGCAAAAATCGCAGATTTTCAGACCACCCTCCCCCGGACGTCCGGATTTCCAGATACTTTTAAGAGTGAAAATAAAATCAACTTAAATTCATTGTTAATAAAATTAAAAGAGTTGAAATAAAATTCAAAGAGTTGAAATAAATGGGACTTTTTCGTTAATTCTGCCAAAATTTCTGGACGTCCGGATTTTCAGAAACCACCCCCCCTCCCCCTGTCCGGATTTGTCCGAAATTCCAAAACCACCCCCCCCCCCCCCCCTCCCTATTTGCCGGACGTCCTAAGTAGATGGCCCCTAACTATGTCGATAGAATTCAAACCAAGATTCAATTCAACAACTTATTTAGTCAACTGTCAAACGCCTCAGTCATTTATTCAAGATGAGAATCAGCAGTAAAATGGATTGTTGGAGTATGAGACTCATAGACAGCAATTTTTATTTAATTCGTAGTAGACTAAACTTCCTGGTGTTATTTCTCGGAATTATAAAAACTTACGGACCGTTTGATTACCACAGAATTTGTTGGGAAACGGCGCTGTTTAATAAACTAAGTCCAACAACAACACTAGTGGGTTTTAAGTTTGTGGGCCAAACGTTGGTGGTATAGACACCTGTAAGTACAGTTGCTTACAACTGGAAACGTTTGAACAGTGATCCCAAGCCTCGTTTGCTGGTTTATATAGTGTTTCGAACCATCATGACATCATTCTTATTCCAAACAAATCTGTCACATGTCTTTTTCAGGGAAGTCAAGTGGCAACGAATATAAAGCTAATGGACCATATGGTAGCTCTCTACAGCTATAGGGAGAGCATAACCACCTTTGTCGAAGAGGATCTGGCAGGGTAATCATTGTATTCAGTTATAAAGCAATAATGTTTTCTGATGCTTTTAACTCGCAAATAAAAATGGGTGCACCTATTACACCACTTAATGCATAAATGCATTGCAGTTTAGCCCAATATTTGTAAACCGTATATTTAATAGTAATACAGTTCAATGCCATCTACCCTTGATCTTTGTCTCCCAAGCTGTTTCAGGCTTTAAAAAGGCGTCAGACTAGCTAATGGCATTTACTGTTTCAGAACTGTATCTGTTGTGAAATCGTTTTATCTCTCATGGGAGCGTAACAAAGAACTGCGCGATAAAATGGAGAGAAACCAGGAGTCGATCTACAAAGATACAGAACGTTTTCAAGTAAGTATGCAGATTATAAAGTGGCATTATTTCTAACGCGTATAGTTAGGGTTAGGGTTATAGGGTACATATCAACTCGCACTGGTCAAACAGGTATACTACCTGTTAACCTGTTAACAGGTAGTATTGCTCCCTCTCCGGGCACGTAGTTCTGGGTTGAGCGAATAGAAACTCTTTCACTTCGTAGGTACGCAAAATGAATAATTACAATAATTTGTGCTTTCTAAAATGAAAATACTTAACACATCTTCAAAAAAAGACACTAAGATTAAAGTTATTAGAAAATGTGTATTGTACAGCTGAAAATGTGTGTTAAACAGCTAGATATGTGTTAAACGTCTGAAAATGTGTGTTAAACGGCTGACTAAGGGTGGAAAGGAGGGTGAGTAGTACATTTTAAAATCCCCAACATACAGAAACAGCCAAATATTGTGTCTCCTGGAAATGAGTATGTGGATATGGTATTCCCAAAACGTATGTAGCTATTAAATAAACAAGAATAAGAGGTTTTATGACGGGTGCACTTGCGTCTTGCAGATGGCTGCAAATGGAGTTCGCGTCTAGAGCATCGAAAGCAACACCATTGAACCCCAATTCCTTTCGTTGATTTTACTGACTAATGGGATCGCCATCTTAACCCACCCTCATTATAAGTAGTTGCATTAACTCATTTGTGATACCTTGGCCAAGGTATCAAGCTGGCCTCTACATTAGCCCACGTAGATCATAGACATATTGAGTTCTCCCGTTTTCTCGAACATGTATCGTCTGGATCTCTGGATTAACATCACATACCCGATATATTGTCTATATGTACATATGGTATGAGATATCCAGCTGCAATGATCAAAGCAAATTATAACTGTCCATTTATCATTGGTTTCTCAAATCCTAAGCGAACTGACTAGTATAACTCAAAGAATTCGCGACAAATCATTCGACTCAGTAGATGATCAATTCTTTACTTTCGTTTCCAAAGATAAAGCTGTAAAGCCAAATTTGTTGGATCGGGACGACTACGCGTTGTGGTGATTTAAAACCACTTGAATGTATTGACAAAGATTACAGAACATAAAAACAGACTAACAATAAATTTGGTTACACCTTACTTCTTAATCACGCAATCACATTTTACCATGAATGCACTCTGAAAAGATTTTAATTTTCTTATTATCAAATAAAAGGTTTTAAACAAGGGATAGTTAAAAAAACAACCTGCCCAAGGCTAATCTTTCCCTAAAACAAATAACTAAATATCAAAACTTCATTGTAATTTCTGCCAATATCTTTTGTCATAAGCTAAATTACGGAGATAATACAGATCAAAAATATTCTTCATAGAAAGATTTCTTTTACATAAATCATGCACAATCAGCGTGAAAGTAATGTCCGTGATAATTATGACCGATAATGTATTTCTGGTAAAGTGATAAAGATAATCCGTAGTTTAAAAGTTGACCTTTTTCCCAGTACTCTAGTAGCAGTGTGTAGTTGAGTGTGCACTTCGATGTCCACGATTTCTGACAACACAGGGTTGTTTGTTAGGTCATCCTAAACCAAAATCGTTTAGGTGCGCAATTTGTATCGCTAGAGACAACCCTACAGGGCAAATTTTCTAAATTACCCTCAGTCGCATATACAGGATTTTCGTATTTCGGCTCCTGAACGTCATAGAAACTTCATTTTTAGCTTAAAATTACCGCAAAGGCCACATTTATATACAACTTATTAATCAATGTATACTCCAGTAGCAGGGAGGTGTTGAGTGTGCACTTCGATGTACAGAGTTTTTTGCTATTGAATCGGGTTAAATAGGTCATTGGTAACTCAAATCACCGAGGGGGGAATTTTGTGTCGCTAGCCCCAACCCTGTGGAGCCACGCCCATATTTCATATCAGGTGCGTATATGGGAAATATGTATCTCAGCTTCTGAAGGTCTTAGAGACTCAAATTTGAGTTTAAAATGACCGCAATGCACATGTTTATATTAGTACTATGAAGGTCATGAAAGCCCAAAATGCTTATTTTTGGAAAAAATTCAGAAAAACCGATTTTCACACGAGCGTGAGTAAAAAAATCTACTCTAGAAATTTAGTGAAAATCGAGTAAGCAGTTCAGTGTCTACAAGATTTCTAAACACAGGGTCCTCTGTTAGGTCATTCTGAATTAGAATTGATAAAGTAAGCAAATTCTATAAGTAGTTTCAACCCTGTGGAGCCACGCCCATATTTCATATCAGGTGCGTATATGCATATCCCATATATATGGGAAATATGTATCTCAGCTTCTGAAGGTCTTAGAGACTCAAACTTGAGTTTAAAATGACCGCAATGCACATGTTTATATTAGTACTATGAAGGTCATGAAAGCCCAAAATGCTTATTTTTGGAAAAAATTCAGAAAAACTGATTTTCACAAGCAAAAAATCTACTCTAGAAGTTAAGTGAAATCGAGTGTAAAGTTCAGTGTCTACAACGTTTCTAAACATAGGATCCTTTGTAAGATCATTCTGAATCAGAATTGATAAGGTATGCAAATTCTATTAGTAGTTTTAACCCTAGGGTGCAAAACTCCTAAATTACCCCCAGGCGCAAATATATGACTTTTCTATCTCGGCTTCTGAACGTTGTAGGGGCCTCTCTTTGAGCTCAAACTAACTACAATGGCCACATTTATATACCGACTATAAAGCAACATAGGGTCTATATAGCTTAGTTTATAGAAATTCATTAAAAACTGTTTTAACCTTCATGCATCATAAAATAGTAATATGATCAAACATGTACTTAATAATGATATCTCGGGCTAAAAAGATATTTGCAGCACAGTAAAACGTTCAACATAAACACATTAGGATTATAACATTTATGGAGCAGCACATACCACCTAACTTTAATTTTGGTATAACTGCGAAAATACTCAGTTTCAGAAGGCTGCCTTCAGCTCCCTCTCTGGGGCTCTCTCCAGTACTGCTCGGCTATTATGGCTAATCAACTTGAATCCAACCTCATGTAGCAGAATCTACTTCTAGCTGCCTTCTGCTAACTCCAGGTCAACTCTACCCAGCTACCACCATACGTTATAATTTTAGATCTTATAACCTCTGATATGAGTGCTACCACCGCTGCATCCAACAATTTCCAGCTCATTAAGGAAGAGGAAATTTTTCTGATGGTTGCTAGATAGGGCAAGAAGTAGTCCACTAACCTAAGCTAAGATTGCTAGAAATAGCAGAAGTTGGAGGAACCTTGGTGGTAGCTAAAGAGATAGTACCGAAGTAGGTGAAAACAGCTGGAATTGGTGGTATAGTAGCTGGATAGAGGAAGAGGTAGCATTCACATCAGAGGTTGCTAGAAAGATCTAAAATCAAGAGTTTAAATTCCCAAATAGTCAGACTGAGCAGGTTGAGCTGTAGTAAAACACAGTACTGAGGTGTTAAAACATTTTCATTACTATCTTCAGTAACATCCTGAATCAGAAACTCGGTTAATATCAGTTCCTACAAAGTGTAACATTGGAAATGAAATGACACAACTAAAAACGATATGAATATTTAAAAAAACATAACTCTTGTGCCCCAATGCAATGGAAAACTTTAAGATAAATCCAATAATGGAATCCCAAACGGGTCCATGGCATTGAGCCCCAATGGACGTATAGTTCTTAGTTTCTGAATATAACGGTGTTCATCCACTTCTAGAGTTCTTGGGCTACTATTACTGAGAATTGACACTTTATAAGCCTGGTTGAAATTGTCACGTTGTTTCATGTTATGAACTTCTACAAAGATCTAAAATCATAACGCACTGGTGGTAGCTGGGTAGAGACTAGAGATGATGCATGAAGGTTTAAAAATTTTTTAATGAATTTCTAAAAACTAAGCTGTATAGACCCTAAGTTGCTTTGTGCTTTATAGTCGGTATATAAATGTGGCCATTGTAGTTAGTTTGAGCTCAAAGAGAGGCCCCTACAACGTTCAGAAGCCGAGATAGAAAAGTCATATATTTGCGCCTGGGGGTAATTTAGGAGTTTTGCACCCTAGGGTTAAAACTACTAATAGAATTTGCATACCTTATCAATTCTGATTCAGAATGATCTTACAAAGGATCCTATGTTTAGAAACGTTGTAGACACTGAACTTAACACTCGATTTCACTTAACTTCTAGAGTAGATTTTTTGCTTGTGAAAATCAGTTTTTCTGAATTTTTTCCAAAAATAAGCATTTTGGGCTTTCATGACCTTCATAGTACTAATATAAACATGTGCATTGCGGTCATTTTAAACTCAAGTTTGAGTCTCTAAGACCTTCAGAAGCTGAGATACATATTTCCCATATACGCACCTGATATGAAATATGGGCGTGGCTCCACAGGGTTGAAACTACTTATAGAATTTGCTTACTTTATCAATTCTAATTCAGAATGACCTAACAGAGGACCCTGTGTTTAGAAATCTTGTAGACACTGAACTGCTTACTCGATTTTCACTAAATTTCTAGAGTAGATTTTTTTACTCACGCTCGTGTGAAAATCGGTTTTTCTGAATTTTTTCCAAAAATAAGCATTTTGGGCTTTCATGACCTTCATAGTACTAATATAAACATGTGCATTGCGGTCATTTTAAACTCAAATTTGAGTCTCTAAGACCTTCAGAAGCTGAGATACATATTTCCCATATACGCACCTGATATGAAATATGGGCGTGGCTCCACAGGGTTGGGGCTAGCGACACAAAATTCCCCCCTCGGTGATTTGAGTTACCAATGACCTATTTAACCCGATTCAATAGCAAAAAACTCTGTACATCGAAGTGCACACTCAACACCTCCCTGCTACTGGAGTAGTATGGTCTAAAATTGTTTGTTTCCGATATATCTGCAAAAAACTAATTTTAAGCTCAGGCGTACGCACAAATTTCATCAAATTTGTATCTCAGCTTTTGAAAGTCTTAGAGACTCAAACTTTGGCTTAAAATGACCGCAATGCACATGTTTATATTGACACTATAAAGGTCATAAAGGCCCAAGATGCTTACTTTTGGAAAAAATCCAGAAAAACTGATTTTCACTGGGGCGAGTGAAAAAAATCTACTCTAGAAGCTAATTGAAATCGAGTATGCATTTTGGTGTCTACAACTTTTCTAGAAACCATGTCCTTTGTAAGGTCATTCTGGATCAGAATTGATAAGGTACGCAATTTCTATCAGTAGTTCCAACCCTAGGGGGGAAATTTCTAAATAACCCTCAGGCGCAAATATATAACTTTTGTATCTCGGCTTCTGAACGTTGTAGGGGCCTCTCTTTTAGCTCAAACTAACTGCAAAGGCCACATTTACATACAAGCTATAAAGCAACATAGGGTTTATAGTGCTTAGTTTTGGAGATATTCATTAAAAACTGTTTTAACTTTTGTGCATCCTAAAATAGTAACATCAAACATGTACTTAATTTTGGTATCCCGGGCTAAAAAAGTCTTACAGACACTTTACTTGCAGCACAGCAAAAGTTCAGCATGAACACATTCAGATAAAATTTATGCAACACAATTCAGTTTCAGAAGAGGAAACCTGCTATTTCTAGCAAATTCTGAATGCTACTTTCTGCTCTATCTAGCTTCCACCAACACCCACTAATTGTTGTTGAGCTACCACTAGCACCAGCAAATTCTAATTTCTAGCCCTATCCAGCACAATTAGACTACCTTATGATATATCCAGATAGCACAAGCACCCTCAAATTCTAGCTGGAGCCTGGAGGTAGCCTAAATTAGATAAAAACAGATAGAATTTGAGAGTGCTCAACCAACTGAATAAGGATGGATGTAGTCCGAAGTAGCTAGAAGAAGCTAAAATTTGTGGGTACCGTTTGCTAGTGTTACCTGGATAGAGCAGAAAGCAGTCTCAGGTTGCTGGAATTAGTGCTAGAATTTGCAGGTTCTGGTGATAGCTGAACAGAGTAGGAGTAAGTCTGAGGTTGCTGGATAGGGCTAGAATTTGCAGGTGCTAACAGTAGCATAACAACAATTATTGGATGTTGGTGGAAGCTAGATAGAGCAGGAAGTAGCATTCAGAGATTGCTACAAAGAGCTAGAGTGGAGATAGCAGAATTGAAGAAAACTAGAAGTAGATTCTACTACATGAGGTTGGATTGGAGTTGATTAGCTATAATAGCCAAACAGTACTGGAGAGAGCCCAACTTATGTTAAGGGGGCCGGGGGGGGGGTCTTCATCAAAATTATCTCGAAATCGACTTTATAGTTGTTTCTGATAGAGGGGAGTGATATCTTTCAGCTGCTTTTGGTCCCATGGAAAAAAATTGTTCCTAGCCGAAATTATTGATTTCGAGAGAATTTTGATGAAGACCCGGCCCCCTTAACATTAAGACCGGGATCCGGGCTTAATCCCGATCCCTAATCCCGGTCCCGGTCTTAATACCGGTCCCGGCACTTATTCCCAGTCCCAGTCCCGGCCAAAAAAGTGGTCCCGGTCGAGCCTTGGCTTTAACGAGATGTAAGCAACAAAAGAGATCGTATAGAGATGTATAAATTTGGGGATAAGATAAGATATCTGGAAGGAGCTTCTGAAACTGAATTGTGTTGCTTCATAAATATTATCTGAATGAGTGAATGTGTTCATGCTGAACAGTTTGCTGTGCTGCAAGTAAAGTGTTTGTAAGACTTTTTTCGCCCCGATACCAAAATTAAGTACATGTTTGATGTTACTATTTTAGGATGCACGAAAGTTAAAACAGTTTTTAATGAATATCTCCAAAACTAAGCACTATAATAAACCCTATGTTGCTTTATAGGTGGCCTTTGCAGTTAGTTTGAGCTAAAAGAGAGGCCCCTACAACGTTCAGAAGCCGAGATACAAAAGTTATATATTTGCGCCTGAGGGTAATTTAGAAATTTCCCCCCTAGGGTTGGAACTACTGATAGAAATTGCGTACCTTATCAATTCTGATCCAGAATGACCTTACAAAGGACATGGTTTCTAGAAAAGTTGTAGACACCAAAATGCATACTCGATTTCAATTAGCTTCTAGAGTAGATTTTTTTCACTCGCCCCAGTGAAAATCAGTTTTTCTGGATTTTTTTCCAAAAGTAAGCATCTTGGGCCTTTATGACCTTTATAGTGTCAATATAAACATGTGCATTGCGGTCATTTTAAGCCAAAGTTTGAGTCTCTAAGACTTTCAAAAGCTGAGATACAAATTTGATGAAATTTGTGCGTACGCCTGAGCTTAAAATTAGTTTTTTGCAGATATCTCGGAAACAAACAATTTTAGATCATACATTGATTAATAAGTTGTATATAAATGTGGCCTATGCGGTAATTTTAAGCTAAAAATGAAGTTTCTATGACCTTCAGGAGCCGAAATACGAAAATCCCGTATATGCGACTGAGGGTAATTTAGAAAATTTGCCCTGTAGGGTTGTCTCTAGCGATACAAATTGCGCACCTAAACGATTTTGGTTTAGGATGACCTAACAAACAACCCTATGTTGTCAGAAATCGTGGACACCGAAGTGCACACTCAACTACACACTGCTACTAGAGTACAGCTTTCCACAGAACAAGTTTCACTGAATCAGAGCTCCTCGTGATAATATTCAATGCCTTCGATGGTCTGGTGCCACTTGTTTATGATAAAATCTTGTTCCCCCTTAAATGCGTCGGTATCACTCTCAAATATCTTTATGTTTGCCTGGAGAGTGCCAGAATCAGAGCTGAACAGACCATCAAAGAAGGATGTGTGTTGTAGTACCTTGTAGTTTTTGCCAGCAGGAATGGTTAACTGTATTTTTTCTTTCCGAGAAAGACCTCTGATGTAAACTCCGCCGATACTTCCAGTCCAATGTTAAAGATCTCGATGGCAACACCCAAGGATATTTCCATTGACTGCTTGTAGGTGGTTTTGCGTTGTATTGTAGAGGTACTTGTTCTCTTGAAGCCAGTTGTTACTGATACTGTTCTGGTAATGAAGGTAGTGCCTTGTCTGTTGTCGAGGTGAAAGACTTCTAATGTGCGGAACCCTGCCTTAAACCTGGGAACCAACTTCCACAGTTGGTCATGTTATCATCGTACATATTACGGACTCATAATATTGACGCTTTGCTGCCCACGATTACGGTGAATGGTGGTGATCAAATGGAGGATATTTTTATATTTTTTATTTAGTTTTATCACGTTTATAGGACTTATCTGGCCTTGTATTGTCTTCCGAATGATCTAATGCAAATGAGAAAGTAAATTATATCTTTATATATGATAAGACAAACGTGAAATCGTTCACGTGAGAAATATATCAAATCTTATTGGCTGTCAGCAGACCAGCTGGCATAATATATATTTTTATCGTGGACACAACTCCGATAAACATATGTTTTTCCGGTTTAACTTTTAACGACAGTGTTGGATGACAGCTGAGAATAGACCTTTGTAACACAGCTAATAGTCTTTTGTCGTACCAATGCTGGGCTATGACCAACGAAACGTAATCGATCTTACGTTTCGTCTCGAACAAGAAGATCAGGATATTCACTATTTGGTTCCGTAGAAATCTTCTTCTAATATGTTTCTTCTTAATCGATTATACATTTAAAAAATGGAACGCAACTTAACATATTTTGAGCAGGCTAAAACAATGAATTTACATCAATGTATGTTATCGTGACACTCCAATCAACTTGATATGATTTGACACAATTAACTATATATAGTAAAATAAATTTGTTAGACAATAGTATTCTTATAACACTAATTTTTCAGCTAGAAGACGACGTAACTATCGAAAAACTGTTCCCTACTTACGAGGATTTCAACGATCTTGATTCACCTGAAGATGCACAAATGGATACTACAGTAAACGAATCCTCTATCCGATTCGTAAGGATAATCCCATCGTTCGAATACTTTATATATTACCAGAAACCACTTAAATCTTCACGTCATCTGTGGATCAAATTATAGGCTTGGCTCAGCAGTATTACTGGCCCAGTGATTATCTTATGCACTACATAATATGCGATGACCACATACATCGTGGGCACAACTTTAAACCTGATTCTCGAACTTTCTCTCACTCAACAAAACCATTACGAAATCCTGAGATGGAGTAAATATTTATTTAAATATCATATTATACAAAATGAAACGATGGGTAGGTTAACGGCACAATCGTTTAAGTCGCAGGATAAAGATGGAATAGTTCCTGTTGAAGTGATGGGAGACTACATACAGCGACTTATCGACCTTTTACAACATGACGGTAGTGTCAGCCAGGCAGAAACCCTGTTACGCCTCAAAAAATGTTTATCTTTGAAACACTTAGAAGGATTGGATATTATAGACAAAGGTACGACTAGATAGACTAGGTAAAACTAGACTAGATTCTTAAATATCTTCAGAGGTAAAACGAGACTAGATTCTTAAATATCTTCAGAGGTACGACTAGATTAAATTCTTAAATATCTTCAGAGGTAAAACTAGACTAGATTCTTAAATATCGTCAGAGGTAAAACTAGACTAGATTCTTAAATATCTTAGAGGTAAAACTAGATTAAATTCTTAAATATCTTCATAGGTAAAACTAGACTAGATTCTTAGATATCGTCAGAGGTAAAACTAGATTAAATTCTTAGAAATCTTTAGAGGTAAAACTAGACTAGATTTTTGAATATCTTCAGAGGTAAAACTAGATTAAATTCTTAGATATCTTTAGAGGTAAAACTAGATTAGATTTTTGAATATCTTCAGAGGTAAAACTAGACTAGATTCTCAAATATCTACAGAAGTAAAACTAGATTAAATTCTTAGATATTGTCAGAGGTAAGATTAATAATAGATTAAACTATCATTTAGTTATATAATTAAGTGGTCGGAGTCTAAGCGGCACAATGTGAGTTCTGAATTGAAGGATAGTCAAGAAACGATGAATAATTAAATTTACTTCCTGATCCCGCTCTCAAGCTGACCGTTGACACGTTTCCAGCTTGAATTATTTAGTTCCAAAATTCACTTAAGTCTACACATCACTTAAGTTGGACAGTTCTTGTAGGGTAATGGAAACTATAGATCTGGTGATGTGTGTCTACCTGCTCACAAGCTGCACCCACAATCTTCAGGCGAAGCTATTACGGTAGGCTCCAGCTGGAGCAATCTTGATCGTTTCACCTCGCCCTCCGATACTGGTGAAGATTGTGTGGACATATACCGGGGGTCATACCCCGCGCAGGTCAAGGCAATCAGACCTTTGTTAAAGGATCTGGGTGACAGAACAAGAGGCTTCCTGGAAACATGGCCCGAACATCCCGCACTCCTTCAGGTATGGGTTCTGCTATCCTATGTAAAATCTGGTGAAACAAACTCATCCAATTGGTAATATCGTCTGACCAACATTGACTCTTCTGCTCCCAAATTTAACATTCCTTAAAATCGATTTAACGCATATACCGTAGCCTTATAGCAGCCTAGCTGTACAGATCATAATTTAGATTATTTACTGTTCCAGATAAAAGCTGTCGTTGAACGAATTGAAGGTTTTCCTCTTGACCAGCCAATTGTAAAGTTTTTACAAGGTCTGGAAATACTGCTCACCAAATGCCAGGTATTATAGTGTTTTTGTGACGAAAATTGTAACACAATAATGGTACGGTATCTAACAACTATAAAGAAACTGGGTCGACTATAATGGTGTCTTAAACTTGATCTTGTTGTAAATCTTTTAATATTGAACTTAAAGTGCTCTTGTTTTATAGTTGTGGGAGGGTATAGCGTCACGGAAAGTGTCTATGTCGGACGCTGTGGAAACGCTGACCCAACAGATCATACAATGGCGATCAAATGAACTCAGGTAATGACAGTGGCTACAGGGGTGCACTAAGTCTAAAATGTATAATCAATAATGGGGGGGGGACAATTATAGTGTTTATGGATCGTGCTAAATAGATTGCATCTGTCAATCTGGGGGTTAAATTTATAAACATAATACTACCTATTATACAACATAATAAACATCACGATGTAATGCACTTACCCATAAATCATTAATATAATGATTATCACGTGTCCTTTCAGGTCATGGCCATTACTGCTGGACAAAGCCTTCCGTAACCATCTGGCCAGTACCAATGACAACTTCTTAAAACTTGCCAACTTGGTAATCGAATCAGGAAATCTGGAGTCCGGGGCGCAGTGTTCCAGTTTTGTTTCCGCAGTATTCGCCTTTATAGGTTATTAATATTTTTAAAATCTATTTACAGTGGATGTTTTAAACGATAGTTGATTATATTGAATGAAGGGGGAGGGGGGTTGGTCTAAGAAGCGAAATAAAATTTAGCTTTAGTACTGGATTGTTCATGTTTTATTAAAAGTGCTTAATTTTAATTTCTAACTTATTTCAGAGGACAGCTCCGTCGGCGATTTCCAAGAACGTCTCCAGTATTTGAGACTTTGTTCCGATAAACTGGGTGTACATGGAAAGATCAAGAAAGTTCTTCAATCAATACATTTTTATTTCAGCCTTTTCAAAGAATATGTGAAAAAGGTACATATTAATATAGTGACAGTTTTGCGGAGTAGGTTTGTTAACACTATTCCCCTGTGATTTACCTATCGGAACTGATTTATGACAAAAATTATAATCGAGGGATGATAAATCTGTGACCATAAAATTTGGTATTAAAATCGATGATTAATTGATCAATATTCTATCGAAATAGTCGGCACATGCTGTCATCCAATTATTGCCTCGTCAACTTAGGCAAGGTTTTACTTGTCGGATATCGTGCTTCTCTTTCTGTGAATCTGATTACTCATGATTTGAAATTAAAAAGGTCCGGTATTTAAAAGGTCCAGAACATAGTTGGCCGGAATAAGTTGTTCCGAAGGTAGTAATGCCGGGAGTTAGGTGGTCCGGAATGAATAATCCAAGAAACGCAAATTCCTCCGAAAAAAGTCAATTTAATGCTTAAGGGGACGTACATCAAAACCTTTTTTTGCCGGGATTCGGGATTCGACTTCATATTATGAAAATATAGATTTTAAAAAATAAGATTTGAGACATTGAACACTTTTTTTGAGAGTACGCCCTTTCGAAAAACATTTAGTCATTTTAAAAGTTTTGTGGCTGATGTTTTTACTGAACATTACATATTATCCGTACAAGACGCCCTCCAAAGGATTATACAATTGAATAATAAATGACGAAGTTACAGACCGAACAAGGTCGAGAGAAGAAATGTTTGCCTACTATTAAAGTTGTACATTTTACCAATCATCCAGGTCATAAGATATCGCTTAAAAAATTCTTGTGAGTGTAGCCGATGATCATATCCAACGTTTTGGAACAAGATTTCTCTCAATTCTGAGTTTTAAGGTATGAAATCTGGCCTCAAAGGACTTAGTAAAATTCATGTAAAAAAGAGCCAAAAATGGCAGATTTAAGACTTAAAATGCCTATAACTCAAAAAATTCAGTTTTTTTGAATTAATTTTGCAGAACCGTAATCAGCTTGATAAGACGAAACTTTTAGTACCAAATAGATAGAACTTTTAAAATGACTAAATGATCGGTATTTCAGTGACAGACTAAACCAATTCTTTTTTAATTTCCATAAAGAAAATTTTTTTTTGGAAAGTGCGTACTATACTCTCAAAAAAATTTTCAATGTATCAAATGTATCCACTAATATCGAAGACCGGCATGATTCTCAAAAAACATAATATGAGCTTATATCCCTAAAACCGCGTTTATATTCTGCAAACCATTTATATTCCGCAAACTGTTTACTTGACGCAAACCGTTAAAACGGTTTGTGACATTAAATTATGTCACATACTTAATATTCCCCAGAATTGGAACCATTTATATTCCGCAAACCGTTTATTCCTAAGAAATAGCTTTAACGGCGGGGGCTAACTCCGTTAATTATTCCTTAGCTGTTCGTCAAATGGGCATCGATGGGCAGTCGTTTTTAAGGCTTTGTCCATTGGGCTTATACCTTAAGAACATGACTTTAGGGCTAAAAGGTTATTAGCGTCGAAAATATTTAACCCGTTAACACTAAACATTCCCTTCAATAAATATTTGTCTGCACTATCGGCAATTTTAAGTTAATAAAACCTTATTGCAGGAGCTTGAAAATTCTACTGCTGGCATGAAGAAGGAACTGAAGGACTACATCAAGATCGTGCGTTGGAAAGATGTTAACTATTTCAGTGTCAAGCAGTCTACAGATGCATCTCATCAGAAATTAGTTAAATTCGTAAGTTTTACCGACAACCTATCTTTTAATCTTTAAAAGATTAATTTAAAACTTATATTAATCGTTACGTGTTCAATGGACAGTTATAAATCACGAATGCTGAGCGGCAAAAGTCAATTTTGTGATAGTTTCATTTATCAATTTTAAGTTTTCAATTTGTCAAAATTCACTTGTCAAAATTGCAAAATAATTAATGATATTCTTATGATGATGTAACCCCGCATTTACGTTCAAAATTAGATTTTTTTCAGTAAAAGTCCATCACGTCCAGACTCCAGAATGGAGTGCTTGCGAAAGATCATTATTTTACTGATTTTTTAGAAATAAGAAAATATTTAATGCCAGAAGAACAATAAGGCGGTAATAATTAATTTTTAGGGAACGGAAAACTTAATATTGATAAGGTATAACGTGATTTCGGTTCATCAAGTATATGTGTAACACTAAAATGAGAAATGCGTAACAAACCTATACAGACCCCGTACAAGCCCCGCAGCGACCTTGTCAAGGGACCGATACGCAATCAGAACTGGACCCGAAGTTATGAGTGCTCCAAGGTGAACTTAACAAATTGCTTAACCAACATGGGAGTTATTAATCAAGATAATTTCAGATCAAGCAATATGAGGGGTCCCTCAAGAACCCCGTTACCACCACGCTTGAGAAGGATGATATTCTACCTTTGCCGCTACAAACACCGTTACTGGTACCTCAACCAAGGTAATTTGAGTATTTTACCCATCCATGACTCTTGAGCCGTAGGCACAAAAGAGTCAAGTACTAGGGTTATCGAATGAGGTGTTTCTGTATATTATGGTAGCTTGCCTCCGTGCGCTCGGTTTCGTACGTATTAATGTGATTGAGGTTCATCAAGGTCATGTTTAACAGAAGAAATGTGTTACAAAACTATATTGGCACCGTACAAGCGCGCCTTACAGAGCCAAAAAGTACAAACCGGGATTTCATTCACTGATATAGTTGATAAATCCCTGATACATACTTGTTGATTTATTTCATTTTCGACTGCAAACAATTTCTTTAAAGTTGAAGTTTTTAGCTTGCCTCCGCACGCACGGTTTCGTACGTACACAGTACGTCCGTGATATGGTAAGATTTGCAAAGTTATTTTAATTTGCGCGATTTTATGAATTTTGTTACTGTTTGTGCGCTGCGCCAAAATTCCTGCAAATTGAAAATTATCACTATGCACGGTTCCCAGCCATTTTAATTGAAAATATAGGCTAGTGGTGGATATGCGAATTGCGAATATCTTGCACTTTATCATGAATTAGCATTATGCACAGATTCGTGTCAGCTTAGAGTAATAGATATAGTCTATAATAGAACATAGAAATGATTTTCATGACCAATAATATGAACGGACGCCATCGTCGTCATAAGAAATGCAACTGCATGTTTTTGATAGTTTTTATTAGTTTTTTCACTGCCCGAAAAGAGAAGTTTTCTTGTAATTTTTGTCTATATTTCTAACATCGACAGTGAAAATTGTCATGGCACCTTTCAAATGACATCTTTTTAATGCCCTTTTAGATATTTCTGATTGAAAGCCCCCTCGTAAGGGGATTGTCTCTAATGGACTAATTTCATTGTTTACATCATAATCAGTTAAAAATAAAAACCCCAATGGGCACTCCTGAAAACATAACTACTAGAAAATATATCAAAACTAAATAGAAAAGTGAGGTCAAATATTGTAATAAATCGCAATATCATTAATTCGAAAATGATTGCAATATATTCTCAAAGATGGCTTGCAAATTCTCATTCCCTAAAGAATTAGAAAGACACTGTGCATGAAGGCGATTATTGCATGGAATAGATCAAACAACCAAGTATTAATTCAATGTCCAAAGCTGTATTCGTGAACTTGATTGCTCGCATTAAGGGTAAGATAGAAATGGGGTGGTGATTGCCCCATTATAACAAGATTATGTGATGGTTCAATTGTGATGGTAGTCTCGGAAATTTGTCGAACTAATGCACACAGAGTAATAGACATTGGTATTATCTGTATTCTGCATGCAGACCCTGGGTGGCAAAGGAAAGCAATTTGTTTTAAACGTAGACTGACCAGACACGAGCTTTCATTGTAACAATATATTATATTGGCTCATTTCACTGTGCAATTTTCCACGGAGCTATCTTGCGACCAATAATTAAATAATTAAACAATTTCAGAATCGACATCGTCGTGGAATTGGGGACCTTGATAAAAGATTCACTGTCGGAGCTACAAGAAGCTTCGTGCGGTTTTGATAAAATCGAAGATAAAGAGAAACGACTGAAGGTATGGAATGACTAAACTTGTTCAGTCCGAGCTATTCTAAGAATTGAATGCCGTTCTAAAATTAAAGGCCATTAATAATCTGTCGCAGAATGGCCAACCTGTGACCCCACAAATATGTCGGGGAATGAATAATATAAGATTTGATGACGATGTGTCAGTCTTGTGGTTCGCGTTCACTCTGTCAATCTTGCACTTGATCGCATGCAAGATCAGATTGCTGTAGCTGTACTCACAAGCTGATTAGCTCCTGTACCTGTTGACATATATAACGTGATATAACGTGCTCAGCAGCAGCTCCATAATTACTCTTTTGTCAGTTACCAAAATTTTGCGCTAAATGAACTGGTTCATAGCACATAAATCGCGAACTTACAAGTTATTAAGTTAGAGCTGAGGCGAGTTATTAACAAACGTCGCTTGGTCCTTTTTTTTGGGAAACCCTAAATTTATCCATTGGCTGCCAACTAAACCTAATTCCTTTTCAGGCTATGAAAGGGATTGATCTAAGAAAGAGGAAAGCTCTATCAGACCTCTTTAAATGTTTATCACATTGTGGGCTTTCCTTTACCAGAGGCCTCTCTATGAACTTTAGGTACGTGCACGATATTCTGCAGAGAACTTCTGTGAGTTTTCGAACAAGAAATCTATTAATATTAGCGATATCAGGTTGAGTAAATGTAATCAGTAAGTAAAAATATGTTGTTTCCATATTACCGTAATTACTCTTCAGTGTCGACTACTTCTACTCGATGATGAGTGAGACGCACCCTAGCTCAGAATCTTCCTGGGTTCTTCACAACCTGAAGACACTCCTAAAGCTTGTAACTGAGCCCTCTGACCAGCTTGGTCCTACTGAACTTGACAGAATTAAAGGGTTCTCCGGACATCTTTTTGGTAAGTTTTAGATTTACATGATTTGTATAATTTATATGATTTGTATAATTTATATGATTTATATGATTTATATAATTTAATTCACACCATTTTTAGATACCCTTAATTCGTCCGTGCTAAATGTTAAACAGATCGCAGTAATCTATCTAAACACAGAAAGAGCCAAGAGGTAAGGAACACTATCCAGTATCCAACCACAACGCGTTGCCTGACACATGCCGATATGTGTCAAAGCAAATAACATTATATGTATTATGTAGACCACGTCTGTGCAGACAACAAATAAAACTGCTTTCGCTATCGAAGTCAATCTTATGTATTGATCTGATCTGTATGGGGTCACAGATAATACATTGGTTTGATGCAATCATGCATATTAACAAACGTATCAGTGAGCACCAGTAAGCCCTGCACTGGTCTTTTTTATTGTTACAACCACTTGCAAATTAGATATATCACAGATAGCTCACTGAATAGTACAGATTTGAATGCGAATTTTTTGTTGCGTCACGCACCAAGGAATTGTTAATATCAGCTACAAAATTGACGCCAAAGTTCTGAAATTCTGTTTCCCGCGGCCGCAATAAGCTAATGTTATGCGTGAAAATTCATCGCCAAGAGATTTCCAATTTATTTTTAAATACTTCCGAAGCAAGATTAAATACATATTAGTGAATGAAAACTCGCGATTTGATCGAACTGCTTCGGTGAGTTCGGTACGATCGTTTAAAATATCCATAAATTACAAATTCTTGGAAACTTCATTATAACCTGATCTTGCTAGATCGTTATCGTGTTGGCACACATTGTCATTACGTAACGCTTCATTTCTTACCTCGCAGGTATTATTAACGAATTGCTCAACTTAAGGGACCAATCCCGCCGACATATCTCAACTCTGGAACAGATGAGCTCCAATTTATCAAGTAGACAGTATGACGCTCACCAAGTAGCCGTAAAGAACAGATGGGAAATGGTTGTTAAAAAGGCGGTTCCTCTACAAGATTGCTCCTACCAAACACTTTATCTTACGTGAGTATTTAACGGGTAATAACTTTACTTCTGACTATCGAAATTATAAAATCGAAAAACTGGTTTGAGGAAAAATAATCCGAATTTTTCTCCTCTCGAATATCAAATATACATAATATAAGAAATTAACCACAGAAGTTATCTTCTGGTTGTTTTAAACTACTTGAGTAAGCTTAACTATGATCACGCATAATTTCCAACATGACGATAATTATGATACCTTGCTGTAAAACTAAAGAAAATCGAGTTGGTAATCGAGCGGTGTTACCGGTTACGTCGATGTTTTCTTTTAAAATAATACTAGGTGTGTGTGATTCACTCACTCAGAAATTTGTCCTACAATATTACGGCAATTGGTATTGCGTTGGCACGCCTTTATAATTGAACGTGAAATATAGAAATGCGCAGGTTAGGACTTTAGGAGGTATAGCAAGGAAGTTTGAAGTTTTCGGGTAATATCCGTGACAATTATGTCCGATAAGGTAGTACTTACTCTATTGAACGCCGACGATGCATGTACCCAAATTATGATTAAACTATGTCATCGTTCCTCGATATACTATGCACTGATTGCTTTTACCCCTCGAAGGAAATTTGGTGCCAAAGAGGACATTTTTAGAAGACCTAACCTCGTTTTTGAGGGCATAAGGAAATTTGTAGGGGGGAAACATTGAAATTTACCAGAAGACATTGTACTAGCAAGCACTGACCGGCAATTACTGTTCGCATTCGCTGGTTGAGACATTCAGATCTTGAATTGTGATTGGTTGACATACATACTTATACTGTACATAATATCTACGTTACAATATATAATAACGTTACTGAAACGCAAAAAAATTAATAATATGAAGCCTGGAACTCGCTGGACTACTTTACCAAATTGTTTCTACGCACCGCGGAACTATGTGCCAAGCATGCCGCAAAGTCGAGTAGACTGACATATTATGCGCTCTCGCCGTGTCAGCCGTGGTGTCAAATCGATCGCTGAGAATTCTGTCTATAAACCTAACCACGACGGAGACCTACCAGTACCAAAATGTTTAAATGAGCTTATGGAACTAAACGTAGCCTGTTTCCATTTTAAAAGCAGCTGAACAGCAAACCCGAAATATTGTTTTGCAAATCACAGAAAATTGGTACAATTAATAACCGAATATCTAAGGTGAAATCATAAAGAATCGCTAGTGATGTTTGATATATTATGTTTTGTACATTATATAAATGCAAAACTTGATATGAGGCCGGAGGGGTGTAAATGTGTGATAGAGCCGCTGTAGATGAATAAGTAAAGTAGGAAAAAGCCGCATCAAAATCTGACCTTACGTTCCTGAGATATTGCGCACCAAATTATGTTAAAATTACAAGAATTATTTTTCCCCCTTCTCTGGCTGCTGGCATACCTAACGACTTACAATATTACAAAAGTTGCTGGAAATGCGCGAAGAAATGTTGAGATGTTCATATCAGGGGCTCTCAAGATTAATCAAAGAAAACAATTTAATTATAAAAAGTGGGAAGTCCCTTCGCTCTCTCACTCTCTCCATCATGGCTATAGTAAAAACAGCTTAGACAGCATGAGCAAATTCAAAAGGAAGCGTTTTACGTGAGCAAAGGATTTAAGGTGGACATGGTAAGTATCTGCAGTTGTATTTGCTACGGGTTACTGTCCTGGTACTTGCAGTCTGACTTTTTAAAGCATATTAATCCATATTAGTCGAATGCAGGTTCTGTAGGTTCTGTCAGGAGAAGAGTGGATCGCTGGGTCACGACTCACAGTTCATGTTTAGTGGTTTTCAGCGGTGTTATTGACGTTATCTTTGATGCAATCGCATTTTTAATCTATTATTATGTTAATTTGTAAGTTTTAACAGTAAACTATGAGATTATGCAGCAAGGTTTGGCGCAGTAAACAGAAAATAACAATCGCAATTTTCTGGTGGAATTTTTCCCCGATTCATGACCGTTATGCCGTAGGCACAAAAGGTCCACATTCAACAACTAGGGTTAGCGATCGAGGTGTTTTTCTGGTGTTTTCCTGTGTATGATGCATTGAAACTATTATGGTAGCTTTAATTTTTGTAGTGTCTAATGTCTACACTATAGAACTTCCTTATCGGACGTTACTTGACCAGACATTGTGTGAACGGACATAATTTTGACGGGACATTGAAATGAACACTCGAAGTCATTCATGATCAGTATTTTATTAAATTACCTTATCGGAATTTATTTGAACGGACATTAAAATGAACGCTAGGGCCTTCACCGTCCAATTAATGTCCGTTTAAATAAAGAAGGATGAGGTATACCTATGTGTAAAGTAGCTCACAGATGGGGTCTAGAGACTAGAATTGCCAAGAAATCTGTTAATCGTCTAAAGTAATTCATACAAATAGGCCTCTGGGAAGGACAGAGTAACATGTAGAATAATCAGATAGACGACCAGCCAACGTCAAGAATCCACTAAAACGCTTACCGAAATTAACATGAAGTGAGCCGAACCGGAGTCGTGGAGGCAGGTCTAAATTTGAGTTTTACCCTTAAAAAGGTTAAATGGTTCATAGTCGGGCTCTAAGATGAGATGTACGTACCGTACCCGGCTTAAAATACGTACGGTACGAAGTTTTTTATTAGTCCGTACCGTACAACCACTTTAAAGTACGAAATTTTTCCGTTTTTTACCTTATTTTTCTATTGTTATAAAATTGGCAGGTATGTATGCAATTTTCAAACCACGATTTTGGTGCCAGTGAATGCTAAAGTCGAATTAAACAATTTTTAAGACGCTAATTTATTTTAATAACTGCAATTATACTCAATAGGAGTACGTACACTGTACAGTCATACTATTCTAATGATGGAAATAAGAATGCGGCAACATAAGTTTAGGTGCCCGTAGCGCCATTTCAAATGTTCCTGTTATTCTTTTGTCACGAAAGTCGGACTTATCGAAAACCCATTTATCGTACTTCATAACCAATTTAATTAGTACGTACGGTACAGCCATTTTTAAAAGTACGTACAGTACGAACTTCTCATCATAGGTCGGGCTGTACAGGAATGTGGAATCGTACCTTTTAACGCTAAATATCCTAATTTTACTACTATACCCCAATTTGACCACAATGAGGCTTGATGCCCAGGAACGTAAACTGACCCCCGAAGAATGCGTTATTCATTACCGATAGCAGAATGGTTTCACTAAGCGAAATAGCGTGGTGTGCATTATCAAGAAACGATCGAACATGTGCATGCGTTGTTATGGACCCCTTATGGACACTAGAGATTCTTACAGTGATGCCATACATATAGGATGGCACTAATAATCACTCTACAGTCTACACTGGACTGTAACGTAACTGTTTCAACCCGTTCTCTAGCTGGCCCTGGACAACTAATCGAAACTCTAACCCTCTAATCTGATCCCAACCCTAACCCTAAGTCCTAACCCAATTCCTAACAAAATCATATTATGATGAAGCCTTAACCCTAACGAGAAATTTGACCAACTTCCTTATACGGTCATATCACGTGCTCGATACAGTTTTTCGCCAATATCTCGCCAGGGGAGCATTTTAACCCTATGTCATGGAGGTAATTCGGAATCAGTGTCCGAAAATACATCGATTCAAGTCGGTTTAAACTGTCGGAGGTCCTTTTAGAAAAATCTCGAAGATCGAGTGTAAAGTGATTTAGCACGCTCGAGACATATATCTGGTTAGCGATCATCTGCCACAAAAGGACAGCTTGTAAATGCTTCGCTAACCTTTGAAGTCTGAGCCAACTCTACAAAAAGGTGGAGTAGCTAGTGGACAATGGTATGAAAAGAAGGGATTAAGTACTAAGTAGTACCGGGAGGCAGAATGCCGAAGTGAGATAATACATATATAATGTACCTAAAGATTAAGAGCTAAAGCAGCATAAATATGACATAATTTCAGTCCGGTTTGATCACGTTTCTTTGATTAATCTTGTACCAGTACAGTATTAGTATGAGGCTGCAGGCAATCTAGATGTATCCGTATTTTATAGTTGTTAAAAGATGAGTTATAAATTGTGTGTTACACACTTGTGTGTAATACAGCAACTGATAAGGCATGTAATCTGTAGTACAAGTAGTGAATTGTTCGGACTGATTTGTGGCGAGATAGCTTAGTGGTTATAGCATCCGAGCGTTCATCGGGAGGTCGTGGGTTCAATTCCCGCTCTCGGCACATCTCACCCTTACTTTTCACGAAAACGTACTACCTTACTGCCTTATTCCAGTGAGCTGCATGATTAGACTTCTGACCCAACCCAGTTAAATATATGTACCAGAATGTTGCTCTATGAATCTTGGCTGCTTAAATGCTTAAATGCTGGGCCCTGAAATACGGGTGCTAGGCCCTGAAATACGGGTGCGACCGAGTTTCCTCCCCCACTTAACCTAATGGTTATATCTGCAACGATCCTTAGTCGAGAGTCTGTATAAATTGTGTGTTACACACTTGTGTGCTGCCGTTCCCTGAGAGAAGGCAGTAAGTCCATTTTTCGAAATTTTGAGATATTGGTGCCAAAATTTTCAGGAAAAGATTCTCTACAACTTAAGCTATGAATCACGTTATAAAAATACTGTTTTAGCTGTCACGAAAGGCAGTAAGCCACACAAAACGTGACAATTTAGCACGTAATCCCAAAACCTTCCCTGAGAAAAGGCAGTAAGTCCATTTGTACAGCCTTCTCTGAGGGAACTTTTTCCGTGAGGGAACTTTTTCCCTGAGAAAAGGCAGTAAGTCCAGATTTAATTGCATTTTTTATAGTTTTTGGCCTATAACTTCCACAGTTTTAGTTATATCGAAATAAATTTTATGTGGTCGTAATCAGCTCAGCAAGCAAAACATTTTGGTACTAATAATTCAAAATTTAAGAAAATATTATTTTCAAAAATTTTTGAACGTGAACACAAGGGTCCCCCCTTGTGTGAATTATTGAAAAAATTTTTGAAAAATTTGGTGCTTTAAATATTTTATGTTCAAATATATTTTTTTCGAATTAATGCGTCCGACCAAGCTGAATACGATGCTGTAAAAATTATTCCAAAATATTCGATATTTAAGGAGTTATAGGCATTTTGAGCGAGAAATTATCCATTTTTCGTCAATATTACACACTTGCAATGCACAGGAGGCCCACATAATTATATTGCAAGGATATGATCAAAAATATAGAAATGTTGTATTTTTTGTGTTGACTTTATCTGAGGAAAAATGGACTTACTGCCTTTCTAGAGAGGAATCGGTTGAAATCGATCCTGATAAAAGGCAGTAAGTCCGCAATTCCCTCAGAAAAGGCAGTGAGTCCAATGCGGATGGGAAAATAGTTCAGTTATTATGAAGAAAAATGGTTTTTATAGATCAGTGTTGGTGAATTTATGCTTTTAAGCATGTTTAGGACATATGACAATAATTTATTTACACATAGATGTCAAAATTAACCCCGTTTATACGAATAAAATTACCTAAAAAACGACAAACACGTTTGTCCCATTTTCTCAAAATGACATCGATGTGACTTACTGCCTTTTCTCAGGGAACGTATTATTAGTTATTAGTTATTAGTTATTATTAGTTAGTAACTTATCAGTTACAGCAACTGATAAGGCATGTAATCTGTAGTACAAGTAGTGAATTGTTCGGACTGATTTGTGGCGAGATAGCTTAGTGGTTATAGCATCCGAGCGTTCATCGGGAGGTCGTGGGTTCAATTCCCGCTCTCGGCACATCTCACCCTTACTTTTCACGAAAACGTACTACCTTACTGCCTTATTCCAGTGAGCTGCATGATTAGACTTCTGACCCAACCCAGTTAAATATATGTACCAGAATGTTGCTCTATGAATCTTGGCTGCTTAAATGCTTAAATGCTGGGCCCTGAAATACGGGTGCTAGGCCCTGAAATACGGGTGCGACCGAGTTTCCTCCCCCACTTAACCTAATGGTTATATCTGCAACGATCCTTAGTCGAGAGTCTGTATAAATTGTGTGTTACACACTTGTGTGTAATACAGCAACTGATAAGGCATGTAATCTGTAGTACAAGTAGTGAATTGTTCGGACTGATTTGTGGCGAGATAGCTTAGTGGTTATAGCATCCGAGCGTTCATCGGGAGGTCGTGGGTTCAATTCCCGCTCTCGGCACATCTCACCCTTACTTTTCACGAAAACGTACTACCTTACTGCCTTATTCCAGTGAGCTGCATGATTAGACTTCTGACCCAACCCAGTTAAAGATGAGTTATATCTACATTAAATGTGGGCCACTGCTTCGTTCACAAACCTGACAAGGTACAATTAATTTGAGAGAGTTCCATTTCTCACGATTTGAACCGCGAACTCGTACGGCAAATAGTAGAAAGACAGGATGAACCGAAATATTGGCGGCCCCTGTTTTATATGTCAAGGAAAGAGTTGACCGAGTGACGTGAACACAACCACCTTCTCATGGAGCATTCTAAAACGTGTGCTTACCTTGTGTCAGAATTAAATGTTAAAATGAATTTTGAACTACACCTTGTGAGAAAATGGCCAGAGTTACCCTCCATTACCAACTTTACCAGACGCACAATTTACATCCTGAACTTTTTTTCCTCGCCAGGGATGCCATTACTAAATTTGATAACGGAGCAGCTGCATTTTCGGACCTTTACGATAAAGGGTCCCTCGTTGATGGAAAACTAATGACTGACGTTAAAGGCAACGTGGACGACATCAAGACCAGACTGCTGCACCTCAGTAAAGCTGTGCACCACCCGGATCATATCTTTACGTGTGGAGAGGCTGCTGAGGTAATTCCACTCATTTTCTATGGCTTTTTTAGTATATATTATGTATATACAGGGTGGCCCATGAAACACTACCCATCCTTATCTCTTAAAATTGTTACAGCTCGCTGAGATCTTGCTAATTATTTTAAAAACAAAAAGTGGCATAACTTATGTTCTGATAAATATTTTTGCTTTTAAATTTCACAGAATGTTAATAACAAGTAGCTAAACCTTTGTGGCAAGTTTTGTGTGAGTGCGAGCTTCACTGAGCTTATTTGACCAATTTAGCCCCTGAGCGAGCTAGCTTGAATTTCTCACCCAGACCTGTTTACATTGGTTAATAGAAACCACAAAAAAAACCTGGGTAAAAAAATCAAAAGACCAGCGATTTATTCACGTTTTACCAATTCTATTCACTATGATCCATCGCACATTCCAATCTCTCTATATTTTAACTGATAAGGACTATCACAGATGATCCTTCCTGCTTGTTTATATCGTTCTTTCACATGGAATGTGCGATGGATCATGGTGAATAGAATTGGTAAAACATAAATAAATCGGTGGTTTTTTAATTTTTTACCCAGGATTTTTTTGGTGGTTCCTATTAACCAATGTAATAAATGTATAAACAGTTCTGGGTGAGAAATTAAAGCTAGCACGCTCAGGAGCTAACTTTTTCAGACAAGCTCAGACTCACACAAAACTTAGCACGAAGTTGTGTCTAATTATGATTGACATTCTCTAAAAATTTGAAGCAAAAATATTAATCAGAACGTAAGTTATGGCGCTTTTCCATTCTGAAATAAAATAATTAGCAAGATCTCAGCGAGCTGTAACAATTTTAAGAGATAAGGATGGGTAGTGTTTTATGGGCCACCCTGTATATTAGAACGAGCCATGCTATACTGGTATAGATTTAGAAGTATTGAAGATGTTCATTTATTCACAAAATAACTGCATATTATCATGTAACATGTTAGCTGATGGAACATATTTTCTGAGATCACTTAGAGCGTTTCTGAGAACAGTTGAACCAGCTGCACGAGATTAACTACTTTATTAACCTCAGATAGAACATGTGGAGGGTATGGTGGAAGAAACTCTGGTGTACCTGGAAGCTCTGGCGAATAAAAAACAAATTTTGTTCAATAATGTTCCCACAACCCTCCCCCTCTTGGATAACTTGTCGAGCACAGTGAAGCAAATAAAGGCTATGACTGTGACCCCCACCACCGGTATAAATCGATCTATTTGATTGATTGATTGATTGATTGATTGATTGATTGATTGATTGATTGATTGATTGATTGATTGATTGATTGATTGATTGATTGATTGATTGATTGATTGATTGATTGATTGATTGATTGATTGATTTTGTTCAATCGGTCAGTCTGAGTGGTGACCCCCGCCATTTAGTTTTGAAATTATTTATCGATAACTGCACTAAAGTTTTTCGAAATGGGTGCTAATAACTTTAGAAATGCCAATGGTTCTACAACTCACAAACTAGGAAGTATTCGTCATGGGTAATTTCCAAAAAAACTACGATTAATTTGAATTTGGGGATGAGAGAAAATGGGGTTGAGTATCTGCATAAGGTGGCTTCCTATCATAGCTTGACAGAAAGAAAAAATCTTTGACAGAGTCCTGGACGGAATTATAATCTGTAGTATTGGTAAGATCCCATTAATCTATTGTCTAGAGCAACACTTCCTCAATCATTTAGCCCTCCGTGATAGGTATAGCGCACGTGAGATTGCTTGCCGGTTTGGAACTGTCAGTTCTTATAATTGAAGTTTCTGTTGCATGGTTTATCATGACTTCATTGATGTTGGCGGTCATGATAATTTAACCAGCATATTATCTATCAAGAGAACTTGATTAATGTCAGAGATCAACAGCTGGATAGTTTTCAGCTAGACTGCAGTAGAAGTTAACGTATGAAATTATGTTGGAAATTCAGTAAAGTCTTAGAGTGATTCCGCTAGACAGGGGTGTAGGAAGCAGGGGGGGCTAGGGTCAGTCAACCAGCGTCTAGTTATGTGCCACCCCACGAATTTAGTTCCTGAATTGATTTATGTAGATTCAGCCGGATCAGCCCCCATCTAATTTTACCGATATTCGTGCATCTCCCCGATAGGTCCGGTCAAGAACTATTAAAACCCGTATGCTGTCAAATAAATTTTAATAAACTTGATGATAATATATAACCTTTCAGAAAGTAAAATACTCTCTTTAAAAGAGTTGAATTCACTACTTGCCTCCGTGAAGCTACCTTTGTTCAAAACCCCCAACAGCCCTGTAACTGAGGTTTGTGTCCAACATATTTGATGTTATCATTTATCATGTTATTTACTATGTTTTGAAAGATTTTTCGGCTTGAATTCTTTCTTTTGAGGTACATGTGTGTTAAACATTTGAGGTGTGTTAATCTTCATTCTCGATACTAATCTTTATTCTCGTGATTTTCAGGACTGGGGTTGCGAGAAAGGCATGTTTGTTAACCAGCTGAAACACATGACCGATTTAGCCGGAATTGCTGACCTTGAACGGCCCTTAGCTATCATATCTGATATTCTTGTCTCAGCTAAGTTCTGCAAACCACTGCCAACTAAGGTATTTAGCCAAATGCCGAATATTCATTAATCATTTAATCTTTAACCGTAAAATTTATGTTTATAAATCATCCGAGTAATCTTTAATCTTAACTTTTACGATTAAGATCGCAGAATATTTGCACTTATAATATTATGATAAAGACGTAATAAATTATTAAAGATGAATCTCAGCGATTTGATAAGATAGCCTGTTAAGCACTTTAGTTTCTAACTCGCATATCTTCAAAATCCTTGAAATTTACCTTTTAAGGAACTAACGGGACACAGAAGCCCCCAGCTTATTGATAGTACTACCTTACAAGACTTTTTCATAACGTACGAAATGCGACGGTTTTCCCGAAATTTCGCCATATTTTCGGACCGCCAAAATTTCGGTCGTCGTAATAGAATCCGTCGCATTATTTTTAGCTTATTCCAATAATTGTGGCTTCATCGATTCATTTTGTTCTTGAAAAGTTAGTGATATGATGGTGGGACAAATAAACACAATATTCCATGATGAATTTAATGTCAAGTAATACTTACTTGTACTTGAAAAGGTCTCCTCCTAGTCGTTGGAGTGGCCTGCACCACAAAGTAACTCCTTTCTCCGGTGTATTAGACCTCTCCAGTGAGCCCTGTCTGTAGCTTGTTGTTCTGCATCTTCTATCGTGATGTTATCGACACCTGTGAAGATTGCTGCATCCTCCCGGACACATGACAACCAGTTTTTCCGAGGTCTACCTCTTGACCTTTTACCATGCTTTGGGATCCAGTGCAGAAGATAGTTGGGTATTCTTTCTTCTGGCATCCTCACCACATGGCCAAACCATCGGAGTCTAGCTGCTCGTACGAAAGTATCAACAGGGGCGATGTTAGCCCGCTTAAGTACGTCAGCATTAGATACGTGATAAAACCATTTGATTTTTAGGATTCTTCTCAGACATCTATGATGGAACACCTCGAATCTTTTCATCTGCGTCTGTGTGGTATTCCAAGTAATACGTTTTAAATTTACAATAAATTACATTTATGTGCTAACTGCTAACCCTAGTAACATAAACGTCTTATAAGAGACTAAGTCAAGATAAACAATTTAATACCAAACTCAATAAGTGAAACTGAAAGAGTCGAGCCGGACCCCTTAGAGGAAGATGAAGAAATCGATTTATAAGTTTCATTTTGTTTCAACATGATTTTACCGATTTTTAGAAAATTTTGAATTTCCTTTGTGTCAGAAAACAAAATGATGAAAAATACCCTTATTTTCTGTGACGTCCGAAATGTGACGGTTTTTGTTCAATTTCGCCATATTTTCGGACCGCCAAAATTTCGGTCGTCGCAAATTGGTCCGCCACAAAAATGTCTTGTAAGGTATTAATAAAGATTAATAAAGATTTATGTCGCAGCATGACTTTAACTGGATAAATGTCTCCCAGATTTTATACAGAGTGAGAGATGTTGTGGGTCGCCTGCTGGAGTTTTGTAAGGAATACCTAAATCATCTGGATAGCTGGCTATCTCATGGGCTTCTACCTGTTACTGCGACTCTGGTGAAACTATTCAGGGATATTTTAAAGGTTGGTACAGTCTAATGTGCTACTTGACAGCTTGATGGGGACTGGGGTAACCTTCATTGAAGGTTCCTATGGCATGAACAACTTTACAACATCAACATTAAAACTAGAATTTTTCCCTACTCTTGCCGACGGCAATAAGATCGTAGAGAATAGGTAATCGGGTTTGGGTATATGAGGTGGCCCGACGGTCCTGCGTTGATACAAGGGTGGTACAGTCTTATGTGCTACTTGACAGCTTGATGGGGTAACCTTCATTGAAGGTTCCTATGGCATGAACAACTTTACAACATCAACACTAAAACTAGAATTTTTCCCTACTCTTGCCGACGGCAATAAGATCGTAGAGAATAGGTAATCGGGTTTGGATATATGAGGTGGCCCGACGGTCCTGCGTTGTTGACAAAAGTCTGCTCCTTCGCAATATATACCACTCCCCTATAATTATGTGTATAAAAGGAGTATATTTTGCGCGCGCGACGCCAGTTATGTGTTAATTATTTACAGGCATAGCAACCAGTTTTTGGTGCTTGACGGCTGTTACACAGGTTTCCACCTGGTTTTACTCTAATTCATCAATTTAGCGTACTAGTCTTTTGAACGGATCAATCATCAGTATAAGTGTTATTTTTATGAAACAAGCTTGATGAATTACCAAGTGATAAAATCCAGCAAGTCCAAATAGGGCCTGTCGTGATATCATGGATCGCTTAGGTTCCACCAGGATCTGGTAGTCCTCATAATTCTGCGGCCTCTATGTGTCGTCATCTCGCACAACTCCGAAAAACCGTTGTGAGTTTGGCATGTGAAAATTTGCAGCCCTCCAGACATCGATTGGGTTAACGAGTTGTCGTACGTCACCTCAAGATCGGGTGACAGGGGGCTGAACAGGCCAGAACCCAATTGATTGGGTCTGAGGTCACGTGATTATGAGCCTGAGGTCACGTGACTATGACGTCACCAGAGCTCGTTCTCCGTTTCCCGCTCTTTGGACCAGGTGAGCTTGCATGCTTGTGAAAGTGGGTGTAAGTACAGCTGTACTGTAGTTACATCCAATTACCCCTAATAGAATGAAGATTTATTTTCTGACAGAAAGCTAGAAATTTACCAAAATATCGACTTTGTTCAAAATTTATTTTGATGATCACTCCTAACCTAAAATTGCACGAGAAATCGATTAAACTTGGTTTCAGAACTCAACAATGCTTCCTTATGCCTTAAGGGGGGGGGGGGGGGGGGGGGGGGGGGATTTTTTTGTGAAACTTAGTTTCGAGATAGCAGTTAACCAACAAACTAGGACCAGTGACCGAACTTTTGAGGGGGTCCCGGACCCCCTCAATCTGACTAATCTGACTAAGAAAAACTCGACTACATAGAGCAACTGCAAGGGTGGTGTCTAATTGGTGCGCGTTGGTAGTAATGAAGTTTTGACACATGTCCCTAAAGCGATTTCATTTAATGAAGTTTTGATCGAAAGCAAGTCGACCACAAAGAATTAATTAACTCAGGCATGAAGCAATTCGTAACTCAAACTGAGAAATATGCCCGCACGTGCCACGTTTGTATACTGACCAGTCCACCACAAATGAACACATAAAAGGTGATCTGAAATTGAAACTAGTTTGATTTGCAATCTCTCGGTTCAACAGAAATGGCGGTCTCGTGATATAAGTTGTTCCGTGCAAAGCACAATTGAACTGCTTCCCGAATCCAACTATAATGAAGTATTTAAACTTGGTCCGTAGTCTTCGTGGAATTTGGATAGATCTTTATAATTCAATTCGTGGTGGTCCCGTGACCTGTCAAAATGGGTTAGACGGGTTCCTGCTAGTAGACTTGAACCTGTCGACAATATTTCAGGAATGATTCCCGCAAGAAATTATATTCCTTCGTTTTGCTCTGATCCCTACTCTGGAACTAACTGCTGATGGAATTTCATACGATTCGTTGATTTTTTGTAAAAATTGAACTTACATTTTATAAAATTCCGATATTCTTCAAAGGTTGAAAAATTCCGAATCTTATGGTTAAGTAAGAATTTTCATTGTGTCTTATCGAAAGTGAATGAGAGAAACACTTGTGACAATTTTATTTACTGGTCCTCTTATTTGTAAAGCTATCCTCAATACATTCAATGACAAAGTGTGATAACCGTTAAAACAGGGGTCGAATTCACAAAAATAACGTAAACCGTTGATTTAAAGCAATCGCCGCTCCTGTCTCTTGATTGCTGATGATGATCAGGAACGCATGACGTATAAATATCATCACGACGATTATTGGTCACTCGAAATCGACCCTTTAAGAATGCAATGTAAGTGCGATGGTTTTTTGTGTGCATTTGTTACCTGTTACTAATTAATCCACAGGATCAAAATGTTTATTGTATCGATAAAAATGGATTTTAAGGCATAAGGAAGCATTGTTGAGTTCTGAAACCAAGTTTAATCGATTTCTCGTGCAATTTTAGGTCAGGAGTGGTCATCAAAATAAATTTTGAACAAAGTCGATATTTTGGTAAATTTCTAGCTTTCTGTCAGAAAATAAATTTTCATTCTATTAGGGGTAATTGGATGTAACTACAGTACAGCTGTACTTACACCCACTTTCACAAGCATGCAAGCTCACCTGGTCCAAAGAGCGGGAAACGGAGAACGAGCTCTGGTGACGTCATAGTCACGTGACCTCAGGCTCATAATCACGTGACCTCAGACCCAATCAATTGGGTTCTGGCCTGTTCAGCCCCCTGTCACCCGATCTTGAGGTGACGTACGACAACTCGTTAACCCAATCGATGTCTGGAGGGCTGCAAATTTTCACATGCCAAACTCACAACGGTTTTTCGGAGTTGTGCGAGATGACGACACATAGAGGCCGGAGAATTATGAGGACTACCAGATCCTGGTGGAACCTAAGCGATCCATGATATCACGACAGGCCCTAATTAGTCCAAACCAATAAAATTATGATATCAGCTGATAAACTCGCGACTAATTATCTAATAGTTTGACACTGTATGGTAAACAGCGACTACATAGTTGAAAACAGATGTTACTTTACATTTACTATATACATTCAATGAGCAAATAAGATTGCAGCATGCTTTTAATTAAGTGTCTTATATCAAATCAAAGGCTCGATTAAGGGCCTGTCGTGATATCATGGATCGCTTAGGTTCCACCAGGATCTGGTAGTCCTCATAATTCTGCGGCCTCTATGTGTCGTCATCTCGCACGACTCCGAAAAACCGTTGTGAGTTTGGCATGTGAAAATTTGCAGCCCTCCAGACATCGATTGGGTTAACGAGTTGTCGTACGTCACCTCAAGATCGGGTGACAGGGTGCTGAACAGGCCAGAACCCAATTGATTGGGTCTGAGGTCACGTGATTATGGGCCTGAGGTCACGTGACTATGACGTCACCAGAGCTCGTTCTTCGTTTCCCGCTCTTTGGACCAGGTGAGCTTGCATGCTTGTGAAAGTGGGTGTAAGTACAGTTGTACTGTAGTTACATCCAATTACCCCTAATAGAATGAAGATTTATTTTCTGACAGAAAGCTAGAAATTTACCAGAATATCGACTTTGTTCAAAATTTATTTTGATGATCACTCCTAACCTAAAATTGCACGAGAAATCGATTAAACTTGGTTTCAGAACTCAACAATGCTTCCTTATGCCTTAAGGGGGGGGGGGGGGGGGGGGGTTCACCCTGTTTTTTTTGTGAAACTTAGTTTCGAGATAGCAGTTGACCAACAAACTAGGACCGGTGACCGAACTTTTGAGGGGGTCCCGGACCCCAACCGCCAAACGGTGCCCGCGGGGCAGCCACGCCCATATTTGGTCCAAATCAGGCCCAATTTAGCCAAATACCCTGAACATGCCCAAAACCCAAATTTTAGGTGCTCTTTTTGTAGCTAGTGGTCCCCTGAACTCGTATATGAATTTTCATCAAGATTGGACAAAAATGACTGAGTTATGAGCCAAAAACCATATGACCATATTTGGGCATACGCACCAAATTTGATCGATTTTGGCCCATAAATTGGTCAAATATCAATATTTTTGAATGAAACCAACTTTATATGGAAGGTAAGCCTATACTACACATTCTCTATGATTATCAGCTCAATATCTACCTAACTGTGGATTCTGTGTTCAAATAGTTGCAAAAAATGAACAAAATCGCCCATATATCAGTTCGCGATATTTGCAAAACTGACTTCGCTCAAAACAATAGAACTCAATAGGGTTTCAATATTTTTTCATGAAATTTTCAGAATCGACGTAGAATCGCCTCACGACCTTAAGTTTTGTATTAGAATTTTAAGTTAGGCCTTTAACAAAATTTGGCGGCCAAATTCTGAAAAATGCCCGATATTCTTGAAATGTTGAAAAATTCCGAATCTTATGGTTAAGTAAGAATTTTCATTGTGTCTTATCGAAAGTGAATGAGAGAAACACTTGTGACAATTTTATTTACTGGTCCTCTTATTTGTAAAGCTATCCTCAATACATTCAATGACAAAGTGTGATAACCGTTAAAACAGGGGTCGAATTCACAAAAATAACGTAAACCGTTGATTTAAAGTAATCGCCGCTCCTGTCTCTTGATTGCTGATGATGATCAGGAACGCATGACGTATAAATATCATCACGACGATTATTGGTCACTCGAAATCGACCCGTTAAGAATGCAATGTAAGTGCGATGGTTTTTTTTGTGCATTTGTTACCTGTTACTAATTAATCCACAGGATCAAAATGTTTATTGTATCGATAAAAATGGATTTTAAGGCATAAGGAAGCATTGTTGAGTTCTGAAACCAAGTTTAATCGATTTCTCGTGCAATTTTAGGTTAGGAGTGATCATCAAAATAAATTTTGAACAAAGTCGATATTTTGGTAAATTTCTAGCTTTCTGTCAGAAAATAAATCTTCATTCTATTAGGGGTAATTGGATGTAACTACAGTACAACTGTACTTACACCCACTTTCACAAGCATGCAAGCTCACCTGGTCCAAAGAGCGGGAAACGGAGAACGAGCTCTGGTGACGTCATAGTCACGTGACCTCAGGCCCATAATCACGTGACCTCAGACCCAATCAATTGGGTTCTGGCCTGTTCAGCACCCTGTCACCCGATCTTGAGGTGACGTACGACAACTCGTTAACCCAATCGATGTCTGGAGGGCTGCAAATTTTCACATGCCAAACTCACAACGGTTTTTCGGAGTCGTGCGAGATGACGACACATAGAGGCCGCAGAATTATGAGGACTACCAGATCCTGGTGGAACCTAAGCGATCCATGATATCACGACAGGCCCTTAATCGAGCCTTTGATTTGATATAAGACACTTAATTAAAAGCATGCTGCAATCTTATTTGCTCATTGAATGTATATAGTAAATGTAAAGTAACATCTGTTTTCAACTATGTAGTCGCTGTTTACCATACAGTGTCAAACTATTAGATAATTAGTTAGAGCCGCTCGATAGTCGATGGTGCTGTAGATGTGTCGAGTAAGCATCAACATTTATTAGTTTATGTTAGATACAAATAATAACTAAGATGAGACATAATATTATATAACAGTCAATAAAGTTGGCATACGATGCAATAATATGACGTGACATGATACGAAACAAAACCGCGCAAAATATGAAATGATCTACAACCAAACCACATACAGATCGACGGCGAAACCTCAGATTCGTGCAGGATTTTTCAAGTTCTAGTCTGACGCCTAATATAATATAAAGTTAAACGATTTTCACGTGCGACAGACACCACACTGGGATGCAATACAAGGAGAACAATTACATTTAATTGTAGCTTTGTAGGGAAATTTGATCGTGCGTGGTGTAACCGCGTCAAAATCCTTTTTATTACTGAAATAATAAGAAGATGGCCCTTGTAATTGTAGAGCTATCACGCGTCGCGCGTGTTCTCACGCGAATACAATATTTATATAGCACTCTAGTAAATTTTATTTGAAACAAATTTCCACAGAACCTCAAACTGCATATTATGAACAATAAATCGTACAACAATATGAATATGCTGGTTTTTGTGCATCGCAATAAATAATTATATAATACAAGTAGGATGGAGGCCTAATGATTGCACTATGTACGTTAATATATAGATATATATTGGTCTGGTAGCATGGTGTTGTCTGTATTTCTGTTATAAGCGAAGACTACAATAAGCCTATAATGGCAGATGGATATTAAAACGTGCCGCCGTAATTGTATTCCATTTAATATCCGGATAGGAACATTAGTTATTGTTGTGATGATTCCGTAAATGCGAAAAAAGGAATATTAGCTCTTTTCAGGTAAAGGAAATTGTTCGACGTTTCAATGTCACTAGATCATATTTATCGGCACTTGAGTCATGGATCGGGAAAATGTTAGATGGCTCAAACTGTTCAATGCCCCATCTAATTAATTCCCAATGCAAATGTCCTGAAAGTAATATCTTAAACTAATGCAGAACTATTTGGTCGTAGCAGAACAATTTAATAGAACTTCCCTTAAATTTGATTTTGAAAGAGGTTGTCAGTACTGGTTATGCTCTGCTCGGAGTAGCAGTGGTAATTAGTTTGCGATGACAGTCCTCCTTCAATTTGCCAGATTATTGGTTTACCCCAGTAATCTGTCTTGGCGCTACCGATGTGATCCCTACCATGTCAGACATGAGCCATGTCACTCTGGGTGAGAAAGTGTATTTCTGCTAATTACTGATGGTGGTGATGAAGGTTTAGTAATAACCGTTAGTTCAATATTCTAGCTCTGCATTTAAAATCCGCGGCAGTAAATATTACTTTTACTATATCGTAAAAGATTTAAAGAACTGTCAAGTCATGAGCTTTGAATGCAACAGAGTGATTTGAATAGTAAATTTAATCAAGTTTCAGCACAAAATGTTACATGTTTAATTTTTATTCATGTGCAACTTTAAACATACATACATGAAGATGTCTCCTCCTAGTCGTTGGAGTGGCCTGCATCACACACATCCCTTGTACGGCGTAACAGGTTCCTCCATTCCACTTGGTTCAGTGCTAACTGTCGTACTGCATCTCGACTGATGTTGTCAACACCTGTAAGGTTAGCAGCATTCTCGAGTACACAGGCCATCCAGCTTTGTCGGGGTCTCCCTCTCGATCGCTTTTCATAGTTAGGTTTCCACTCTAGTGGAAAATTTGGTAACCTAGTCTCTGGCATTCTTACAACGTGTCCATACCACCGTAGTCTAGCAGAACCGATGAAAGTGTCTATATAGACTTTACGCCAGCACGCATTAGAAGTTCATCATTGGAGACAAGGTAAAACCATTTAATCTTCAAGATTCTTCTCAGTTCAGATGGAAAACCTCATTAACTTTAAACACCTCTAAATTCTGCTACCATTTCCTGTCTTGAAAATTGAAATCGCTCGTCGTGAGATTATTCCAATCAACAACAACTTAACAGTTTTTATGATAGTTTCATGGCAATACAAGATAGAGAGGGGTAGTCAGTGTTCACCATACAACCATTAACTGTAAAGTTGTGATTGGCCAGAATAATCTCTCGACGAACAATTTCAAGACTTCCTAGGAACAGGAGATTATATCGGAGGTGTTAAAAGTATTCGCTCACAGTTTACCTGTTAGGAGCTGGCAGAAAGTTCTCAATTAATTAATCCCATGTCTGGAGCTCTAGTACAGGGTCTGGGTGAGATATAGTATCAATGTATTAGTATCAATGGCTAGTAAACGTTACTATGGCATATCTCTCACGGTTTTCGCGGAAAGTCGTGTTAAAGTTGATATCGCTTTGTCAGTAAAATGGTAACAGATATATTTTAATTGTGGGTGGAGTCGTCTGCTGACAGTGCTCAATCGGCAAGCCGAGAGCTAGATACAAATAGAAACGACCGGTTGAGTCAAACAATTGTTTCATGCAAAGCCATGATATCATCAGTGACAACTGAGGTAGGAACTAAAATTATTGTAAGTACAAAGCTAAAAGGTCTGTAAAATTTTACATAGCTTTTGAAAGTTTAAATAGAAACCGGTCGTTTCTATTTGTAACATATATTTTATATATACATATATTATATATATATTGTTTCGGAGTAGAGACGGGGCTCCAAAACCAACCAAGTAGGTTTTCTGTGCACAATTTTTTAGCAAGATTTTGGAGATGTTTATGTAACATTTTGCTTTTCAGAGAGGATACTGCAAGCCTGATGAGCTGGAAGAAGCAGAGAGAGAGGGAGGTGAGATGTTTGACAGTAGTGAGAGCGGAGGAGTAGGAGAAGGACAAGGTACTACTGACGTTAGTGATCAGATCGAGAGCCAGGATCAGGTACTTAATGCTGTATTCTTTAAACATAGGGAGGGAAATTGAGCTATTTTACGATTTCAAACATCTCAATTGTAACATAATTACGACCCAAAAGGAGAAGAAGGATACATTTTAATTTTAAAACAAATATAATATGTACGGATGAACAAGATACAATACACGACTCACGAGTGGCTGGTTACATTATTAAGCTGACTGTATGAACAACTTCCTTCGACGATTAACCAACAAACTTACGTTTTGCAGCTGTTTTATTATGAATCAAATCAAACCCACTTTAATACGATGCATTCTCGGTTGTGGAATGTGGTATCAATTTGAATTTAATGAATAGTATTTAATACTGAATTTAATTTGAAAGTTCTTTTGAGAACTCTCCGATCTGAAGACCTGCAGATTGTGTCGGGTGCTTGCTCACGTGACTAAACTTGGTATGTCAGGTGGTTCAGCATGCAGGTTCCAAATAAGCATGACTGTCCTTTAATTATTGTCCTTTAATTACTGTAATTCTCTCTAGCTAAGCTGGACTGCAAGTTAGATTATAACTGAATTCAGCAGAAGCTAGCTTGAGCTTGAGTTTGTAGATGAGTTTGAGGTGACCAGAGATAATAGCCGAAAGGGATTAGAAATAGCATAGCTTCAGTAATCAGTATACCATTTCAATTTCAAACATATCTAAACTAAAAATCTGAAGATATGTAATTTGATGCGCAATAAATGTTACACAAATGAGGTTTAAAAAACTGTATTTTATGAATCTCTCAATAACTAAGCAATATATTATACTCAATGTTGCATCCTAACTTGTATATGGATATGGTTGATTTGAGCTAAACAAGAAGCTCCTAATACTTTCAGTACCCGAGGTGCACTCTCGTCTGAGGGTTATTAGTGCAGCACCCAACACCTCCCTGCTACTAGAGTAACACCTCCCTGCTACTAGAGTAGCAGAAATACCAAGAAATTATATCGATTATACGTCAAATAACAATTTGAAACTGACTATTTATATAATAAGTCCTCCTCCTCCTTAGTCGTCCTCCTCCTCCTGAGTCCTCCTCCTCCTCCGATCCTTCTCAGTCCTCCTCCTCTTCAGTCCTCTTCCTGACTCCTCTTCCTCATCCTCCTCCACCTCCTGAGTCCACCTCCTGAGTCCTCCTCCTGAGTCCACCTCCTCCTTCTCCTCATCCTCCTCCTCCTCCTCCTCCTCCTCCTCCTCCTCCTCCTCCTCCTCCTCCTCTTCCTCCTCCTCCTCCTCCTCCTCGTTCTTCCTCTTCCTTCTCCTCCTCCTTCTCCTCCTCTTTCTTCTTCCTATCAGTCCTCCTCCTCAGTCCTCCTCATAGTCGACCTCGTCCTTAGTCCTTGTCCTCGTCCTCCTCCTGGGTCCCCCTCCTGAGTCCTCCTGAGTCCTTCTCCTCCTCCTCCTCCTCCTACTCCTCCTCATTCCTCCTCTTCCTTCTCCTCCTCCTTCTCCTCTTCCTTCTCCCTATCAGTCCTTCTCCTCAGTCCTCCTCACCCTCCACCTTAGTCCTCATTCCCCCTCCTCCCCCTCAGTCTTACTCCCAGTACTCCTTCTCCTCCTCCTCCTCCTCCTGCTCCTCCTCTTCCTCCTGCTCCTCCTCTTCCTCATCCTCCTCCTCCTTCTCTTCCTCCTCCTCCTCCTCCTCCTCCTCATCCAGTGTGACATATTCATGATTGAGTCGATCCAACGCTCATTCACTGCAAAAATAGCAGGATACAAGTATCTTAGCTACTGGGAGCGCCTGAAGCAGCTTGATCTCTACTTCCTACAGCGCCGCCGCGAAAGGTACACGATCATCCTTGTCTGGAAAATTTACTACGGTGAGATTCCCAACAGTGTAAACATTACTTTCCAACACTCTCAAAGAAGAGGAGTTACATGTCTTCGTCCTCTTGGCGGATCAAAATACAAAAGCACCAACACCATGAGGTTTCATTCTTTCCCTTCAGTGGCCTCTGATTTGTATAACGCTGTGCCTCACGACATCAAGTCTATCCCAACCTTGCCAAAAATCCTTCTCCTCAGTCCCCAGTCCTTCTCCTACTCGTCAGTCCTCATCCTCAGTTCTCCTTCTCCTACTCCTAAGTCTTCCTCCTCGTCAGTCCTCCTCCTCCTCCTCAGTCTTCCTCCTCCTCCTCCTCATCCTAATCAGTCCTCAGTCCTCCTCATCCTCCTCAGTCCTCTTCCTCAGTCCTCCTCCTCCTCCTCCTGCACGTCAGCCCTCCTCCTCCTCCTCCTCCTCAGTCCCCAGTCCTTTTCCTACTTGTCAGTCCTCATCCTCCTCCTCATCCTCCTCCTCCTCCTCAGTCCCCAGTCCCCCTTCTCCTCCTACTCCTAAGTCCTCCTTCTCCTCCTCCTCAGTCCTCCTCCTCTTCCTTCTCATCAGTCCAGCCCCAGTCTTCCTTCTCCTCTTCCTTCTCATCAGTCCTCCCCCAGTCTTCCTTCTCCTCTCCTCATCCTCAGTCCTCCTCGTCATCCTCCTCATCAGTGTTCTTCCTCCTCCTTATCCTCGTCATCAGTCCTCTTCCTGATCCTCCCCCAGTCTCCTTCTCCTCCTCCTCCTCTTCACTCCTCCTTAGTCCTCCCCCAGTCCTCTTCTTCATCAGTCCTCCTCCTCAGTCGTCCTCCTCCTCGTCCTTAGTTCTCGTCCTCATCCTTCTAGTCCTCGTCCTTAGTTCTCGTCCTCATCCTCCTAGTCCTCGTTCTCGTCCTCCTCAGTCTTCCTCAGTCTTCCTCAGTCCTCCTCCTCCTCCTCAGTCCTCAGTCCTCTTGCTCCTCAGTCCCCAGTCCTCTTCTACTCGTCAGCCTTCTCATCATCCTCCTCCTCATCAGTCCTCCTCCTCCTCAGTCTCCTCCTCAGTCCTCCTCCTCAGTTCTCCTCCTCCTTCTCCTACTCCTAAGTCTTCCTCCTCGTCAGTCCTCCTCCTCCTCCTCAGTCTTTCTTCTCCTCCTCCTCTCCAGTCCTTTTCCTCCTCCTCATCCTCCTCAGTCCTCAGTTCTCCTTATCCTCCTCAGTCCTCCTCCTCCGTCCTCCTCCTCAGTCCCCAGTCTTCCTCCTGCACGTCAGTCCTCCTCCTCCTCCTCAGTCCTCCTCTTCCTTGGAAGTTCAGACTGACAGCACGGGTAGAGATCAGAGCTTAAGTCCCCCCCCCCCCCCCCCCCCCTAATATGCAATATGGTACAACATTAAATTAGATAGTTCCACCCTGTTAGATCATTGCTTTTCTCTATTTGATAGTGTTTATGGACCACATTCTCCATGTAATACACTCAAATAAACATAAAAGTACTGTGCAAGTAGTCAGATAATATCATTTAAGCACTTAGCATATATCAAACTTGATGAAATTGAAGTTAATTCTAGGGCCCCAAAAGGCCCCACACAATACACATATCGAAATCCATAAAGGGCCCTAGAAATCGGGGCTTTTTGGGGCCTTTTGACCCTGACCACTATTTGATAGTGTTTATGGACCATAATCTCCATGTAAATACACTCAAATAAACATAAAAGTACTGTGCAACACAACAACACAACAACAACAACAATGGCGAACCTAGCAAGCTAGGATCGAGGGGCCGATCTCCTTTTTTTTTGCGGTGCGGCCACGGTCCTTTCGGTACAGATTTCCCTGCAGCATAGTCGGGACGCAACCCCTGGCATATGCACTCGTGTTATTTTCGCAGCTCTAATGAGAGCCACTACCATTCACACCATGGTTTGGTGAGTGACGGCTGCCCATCAATTTTGAAATCTTGGCCCAACTGGGATTCGAACTCGCAACGTCAGGGCCAGTAGACAAGCAGATTAACCAACTAAGCCACTGGGCCAAATACACTCAAATAAACATAAAAGTACTGTGCAAGTAGTCAGATAATATCATTTAAGCACTTAGCATATATCAAACTTGATGAAATTGAAGTTAATTCTAGGGCCCCAAAAGGCCCCAACATGAACACATATTCAAAATCCGAAAAGGGCCCTAGAAATCGGGGCCCTTTGGGGCGTTGGCCCCCCCCCCCCCCCCCTATCAATTTTTCTTATTACTTTTGTATTGATTTGTCTGAAATGATATGCTCAGTAATTTGAAATTGGCGTTGGTTTCTTTTGTTTTTGACGATCATTTATGGAATATTCACAAAAGAGTGCTTGTCAGTGCTTAAAATAAAGATCACCCAAGTCTGTTCACAGAACGGCTGTTATAAATACTCATTCACCCATCATCTAACATCTTTAAGTGTATTAGGAGGGTAAGTCGAAGGGTTAATTCATGATTTTTCAGCGAGTCGGCTACTTCTACCTTCACGAGAGCTAAACTTCAATTAACCTCAATTTGAACTGACTAGTACAGTGGTAGAACACATTACAACCGGGCTTATCATTTTACTTTTAAGTCAGATTTATCCTACTCTTATCTTGGACAAAACATCTCGATCGTATCGTTATTAAACTAACTTGAAAACCATGAATAACTGTCAAAAATTCTGGGGACTTATGGGGACAAATGGTGAATTACGTCAACGAGTTGACCTCTAGTCCCCATGATTTTTAGTCCCCATTAGTCCCCAAAAGTCTCCATTGGTAGTCATTACTCCCCCCCCCCCCCCCCCCCCCCCCCCGGTTCAAAAAACAAAATGTCCTTGAATAATTATGAGTATGTTCTTATCTGTTGATCCTTAGGTTCAAAGACCACCAAAAAAATTTCAGCTTCAAACTCTTCCATCTTCGGTCCCCACCGGCCACGCCCATATTTTATTGGTTTCTTATACAGGTAAAATATCTAGAATCGGCTTTTTTAGTATGAAGGAGTAATGCTAGCTGTTTAAGATTCGTTATTCAAATATAAATGTCATGAAGGCATTTCGTTTAATGTGGGTTTTAAGTTCTGATGATGTTGAGAACCACGCCCTTGGATGGCCACGCCCATTTAAGAAAATTAAATTTCGGAAAACCGTATTATTTTAGTTTTATTGTTTAATGATCTGAATTTTTTTCACATTTCACATTTCCATATGTGATAGTAGTGAATAAATTGATGATATAAACGTTCTAAAGTGCTAAAAATATGGTAGAACTACATAATCTCTGGTCGACAAATATCGTGTCAATTAATGTCAGTATTCCAAAATTTTGCAAAACTGACATTGACATTAATTGACATTAATTGACATTAATTGACATTAATTGACATTAATTGACATTAATTGACATTAATTGACATTAATTGACGTTGCATCCCCCCCTTTTTGACGTAAAATTCGGATTGATTGACCAATAATTGAAAAAACATAATACAGGAGAATAGTAGTACCTTAACAAATTCTCCCGGCAAGGTTGAGGGCACAAGAAATGAGGAAAAAGAAGAGCAGGACGATGTTGCCGAAGAAAAAGAGGGTCTAGAAATGGAGGATGATTTTGAGGGTGCCCTAGGTGATGTGGAGAGGGATGAAGAAGGAGAGGATAGTGGCGATGATGACCAAGGTTTGGCGTTTTTCGAATCACTTAATGTATTCTAATTTTATCTGCGTGGAAATACTGTTATATTCGATCCAAATGTTAGCTTCTCGGCTCTCGCTATTTTTACCTATCGTCAATAAAGTAGGGGTTGAATTTTGTGCAGACACTGCACAGTGACTGCAGAAAAATGCATTAAATTTCCCATTAACTGATTCGTGTGTTAAATCATTTCATGTTGATCTCTAATGGTTCTCTAATGTTCAAAGATTATTTCAAAAAAAATATGGTCCAATATGAAAGTATGGTCCATTGCTAAAGTAAAATAATGCCGAGGTGGCAAGGGTTTGTTTCGGGCTCTTGCGTACCGGCTATACTTCTGTATTTTCAGAAGAAGGTGAAGATGATGAACAAATGGGGGACGTTGACAATCCGGAGGACAAACAAAAATCTGAAACTTTCGGTGAAAACGAGGAAAAACTGGTAAGTCAGTGAATCCGGACGGATTGTTCAGTTCGTCATCCTGAATTTCGTGTGTATATATTAGTTCCAGTCATAACAGAATCTCATTATTATTATTGAGTTATTGAAGGCTAATTATCTCAAAAACTTAAGATTACTTAAATTGTTTAAGAAAACACCGTGGTCGCCATACTGTAAAAACCCGCCATGAATACTGCAAGGTTGTACAACAAATCCAGGTCATAAGGTTGCTACACTACTCAGCATTTATTGTCAGGGTGCGGGGCTGTTCTAAACATTCCTCATGTATTTCTGGAATGTTTGACGGAATTGACCTGGGGCTCCTTTTATCGGAAAAGGTCGTCGAATATGTAGGTTATTGTCATATATGTACCCATCCTATCAACTGGGCTTTCACAAATTTGGTCAAACACAGTAGCAAGGGGTCCACGTTTATATTAAATTCGTCGCATGTTTATAGTGTGACAATGTAAACATTTCCGTGCCCGCCGTATTTAGGCGATATCTTATCACCTGATTGAAGTAGAGAATGAGACGATTATGAATTATCCTAACCAAAAAGGGCTTATATAATTTTTTTGTGTTACAACGTTAACAACAACGTGCCTTTTAATAGGGTTACTAGTATTATCATTATCCTCAACATCAAAATATTAACATGTCTATATAGCAAAATTATGCACAACACTACTACTACTACTACTACTATGTCGGAACTAAGTCCGATCTACGCCAGATAACCCCCTCCATACATCCCTGTCCCGCATCAGGGTTCGCAGTTCCTCTTTAGAGTTTGTCCCAACTTCCTTCAGTAACATAGACAAGTAGCTTTTTCAAGTGGTCGGCCTTGCTGTGCTCTACCATGCATAAGTTCCCATAACACTAAATCACTGGCAAGTAGCTCAGGATGTCTGATGCAGTGTCCCGCTATTTTTAGTCTCCTGCTTCGTAACTTGTTTGACAGCTTTGGTAGACTATCATACAAAGTTATATTGCTGACCTTGTCCTTCCATGAGATATCCAGCACCATACGCAGCATATTTGTGTATGTCCCGTCCAAACTTTTTTCTTGAGCCTTTGTCAGTGTCCAGGTTTCTGATCCGTAGAGCAGTATTGACTCACAAGCCGCTATGAACAATCTAATTTGTAAGCTCTTTGATATTTTGGATTTCCAGATATCCTTCAGTCTATGTAGGGCACCCTATGCTTTCCCTTTCTAACCCTTGTCTCCCTATCTGTGCTCTCAGTCCAGGAGCCTAAGTAGATGAAATCATCCACATTTTCTATGGCTTTCCCAGATCGACTTCGGAGGTCGCTAGATCGATCCTCCATATTCAATGTCATAAACTTGGTCTTGCTTTCGTTTATGTGAAGCCCCACGCTCGCTGCCGCCGATTCTACTCGGAGCAGGAACTCGTTAGCTTTGTCCATGTCCTCAGATATAAGTGCTATATCATCTGCAAAGTCCATATCGGTGATGATCTTGGGCCCCACTCTTCTGCATTTTCTACACAACAGTGCATACAAATTAAAATAGACAGCAAATTGTGTGATCCTGCAGCCGCCGCAATTGAATAGTACGTCTGGCATGCTCGAATTTTAGTTAGGTCATTTTAGCCGATATATCAGAACACTCGATCGAACTCTAAGACCACACAAACCACCTTAGAGATGCCTAGAACGACATTCGCCCTGAAAATCAACTGGAAACTTTGAAGCTCACTTCATATTATTTTGAACTAATAGGTAGTGAAAATAAAACAGTCTACAAAGATTGGGTGGGTTAAATATTGCTTTGACGATTCAATTGACGTCAAACCAAGGCTACTATAACTGCTTAGGGAAATACTATCTATTTTTAAAAGTTGAGATAATTATGTGAATTGTCGTAAAATTGAACATACATCGAGTATTGACGTCATAACGAAATCGTTTGCGATGGATTTAAATTTTAATTTAATAGCATTCGTTTGAAGCTGGATTTGTATATAATAATATTTAAAATTTAAAACCCTAAAAAGCTAAAATTGCAGCCTGACTCCGAAGCTGAAGCGGACAAAGGTGCTCAAAGTGAGCAGCAAGATGAAATGGTCGCAAAAGACGATGACTTGGATCATGAATCCGGCGAAAAAGGTTTGCTGACTTGGTTATTTTGCGATTGTCTAAACGTGATGGCTAGTGCTAGTTAGTCGTAGCGCTAGCTCTAACTATCAGGTAAACTAGTGGCAGTGCTAACTAGCGAGAACTATAACTGGCCACCTGATATAGTGTCGTCGTGTCGAACCTGATAGTTAGCGCTAGTTTTGAGAGTGTGCGTGAAGTGTTTACGTCTTTGACGTCGCTTTTTTAATAAAACAATTATTTAATAATAAAAAAGTCAGCAAAAGAACCGCTGACTGTGGATTAGAATCCAAAGCACAAAAGAAGTACAGTTATTTGATATTGAAATGCATATAATCCGAATCCATTTGTCCTTGTCGACATCTAATTTCTCCTTTAATTTCTCAAATATGGAGCTTTATATCAAACCTTTTTCTTTAGAAACTGAAGACCAGGAGCTACAGCAGGAAGATGACGTTGAAGCTGAGGAATATAACCCGGAAGATGATGTTCCGGATCCCGAAGCTTCCGGGCAACCCGACGATGAAAATCCTCCTCAAGTTGAGGACCTCCCAGATGACATGGAGGGGTTGGAGGACCAACAGGTTTGTAGGGCACAAAAGAAGCTGCTTTTTTAAGTGTTCAGGAGTTTTATTTTATTTTTAAATTAGTAATTTGTATTGCCATAAACCACTGTTTATTCGATTTCCTCATTGATTATCCAGGATAACGAAGGAGGTGACGTTGACATGGAAGAGGTTGAAGAGGGTGGAGATGATCAAGAGGAAGAGGGTGTAGAGGAGGGGGAGATTGATGACATAGCCGAGGAGCAAGAAGACCAACCAGATGAAACCAACGAGGTAAAATCCGTTCCTTCAGCCACCAAAATCAACCGTTATTTTAATTGTTTGTGATTTTAACCTGAAGTGATAGGGCTATAATAGGGTTCAACTTAATTTTACATCAGGAAACGGAGAAGGTTGGGGCGAGTGTACCAACGGATCACAGCGAGGCAGCACCCGATCCACAAGCGGAGACAGAAAGTACACAGGGAGGTGTTGATGCTGAACAGCAATCAGGTGGACAGGATGACCAGAACCAGGGTCAATCAGCTGACGCTGCCGGTTAGTTTTAGCCAGAGATAATTTATATCGGACAGCTCGTGTTGTAATATCAGTACTTCAGCGGCCACTATCTTGAGATGGCAGTTAATTGGTTTTTAGCAACAACCTACTATGGATACATTTATGTCAGTCAAAATTCAATAAAAAACTTTTAGGCGAGAGCAGCCATGATAAGAGTGATGAGACGGATCCCGCTGATTTAGGAAAAAGACATCGCGAGAATGAGAAAAAGCAAATGTCAGAGAGCAAATCCGCGAAGCGGGCCAAGACTTTGCCAAAAATAAAAGAGGACCGTGAATCTTCCAACGCTGAGGTGAACCTCGTTTTTCAAATACCCCTTTTTATACCCCGATGTTTCTTTTATTTGAGTGTCCAAATGCCATTAATTGGAAATGGCCACCAACGAAGCAATTTATTGAGATATTATTTAATGACAATTTTGTCAAATTGACAAACTCGCGACAAATTTTCTCAATTTTATTTTATCCTGAGAACAATTTCATATGGTTATTTTTCCGCCAGGTAAAGGATAACCCATTTTTTACCCCGATGTTTCTGATAATTCAGTTTTAAAAACCAGTAAAAAAATTTCGTGGCCGCCAATTTATTAAGATATCATTTTATTGACCATTTGGCATTTTGTTGACCATTTTGTCAAATTGGTGAACTCGCGACAAATTTCCCCAATTTTATTTTATTTTTAGCATAATTTCATATGGTTATTTCACTACAGGTAAAGGATACGGATGTCTTCGAACACACAGAGGAAGGGGAAGCGTATGACAAAGAAGTTATGGATACGACTGAGCAGAAGACAGGTTGGCTGCACGATGCTTGCTTACTTTATTTCTGCTAAAATTGTACGAGGACGAATGGTCGTGGGATGATCGGCGCGGTTGTGAAAATAAAATGTCGCAGATTTTTGATAAAATTGGTGTCACCAATTAACGTTATGATTGTTTTAGATCAGGACTATATTGCTGATGAAAAAGAAGATGAACCAGGGGAACAGAGTGGAGTGTTGGAAGGTTACGAAGAGGAATTGCAGGAGGCTACTGATGACAAAATAACGAACAGCCAAACTGACAAACAGAATGTTCAACAAGCAGCGGAGGATGGAAAACAGGACGAAGTTGAGGATTCTGACCAGCCTAGCAACCAGCGGGTAAGAGTGAGAGCAAAAACGTATTACTTCATTTTTATTAAATTTTCACTTCTTCCTGATATACTCAAGTAGATTTTAAATTAAACGACTGGCTAACGATTCACATCAAGATCAGACTGAAACTTAACATGGTTAAGGAAAGTTAAGATTAAATCTATGAACAAAATTTCAAAACTAAATGAATGCTGAATGACGTTGAATCTCTAGCAGAGTAGTAGTACCAGGACGCACGTTGAACTGATTGAGCAAGAACGTGGGTTTTACCAGATAAGCGTTTCCTTATCAATATAGGGTATAAATGAATTAAGTTGGGTCCATGAGCATATGAGCCAGACAGTGACACTACTGTTAACGCCAAACCCTTCGTGGCAGTAGTCGATTTATTTTTTATTAGATATTTTAAATTTATGGTGGTCGAATATTAGATGGTGATGACGTAGATGCTTGATCAAATGCTTATTTTATTGACAGATTGCGATTTATTAGATATTTTGGTCATACCGTCTGATAAGTTATGCGGTTTAACTTTAGTTGTAGTGTACGTACGGAACGTTCATTAAATATTTTCTGTACATGCGTTCACTAAAACTCATATCACGTTCTGAACGTAGTAAATTATGGGCAATTCCACCGTGACGGACACCACGATTATGCCATTTTTTAAAGTTCAAACGAATGTTTTGCTCAGGATGTTGCTTCTTTATCAGTTTAAACTATTTATTAGTCCACATTTAACCTTTCTATAGGTTGTGTGAAAATTTCAGACCCCTACCATTATTACTTTCTGAGATAGCACCCCTGTGACGGACGCGACTTAGATATGACACTTTTTTTGGGTGTCTACTCAGAAGGTACCCAAATCTATCTCAAAACGTTATCTATTATCTCTTATTTGGACATGCAGTGATAGAAAAAGGTTTAGTGATTTCTGAGATACCATTTTTTTGGAGATTGCTCAGTTTTTAGTTGCGTGGCGCCATTTTCAAATTGTGACGGACGTGACTGTGACGGACACACGTTTTTTTTCAATTTCTCCAAATCTTCTATTTGACACTTTTATCTTGTTCAGTGACCTTCATTCTATATTTATGCCAATTTTTAGGCCGCAAGTACTTCCACGAGGTCTGCAATAGCCAAAATCGTCCATTTTGGGCATACGCTAGGGTATCAATCTAGGGGCAGCAATTATTTCTCTACTTGAACAAATTTATAACTCTGGTAAAACATTCATCTCTGTTCAACACATCACACTGTTGAGACCATCTCCCAAAAGTTTCATTACTTTAGTGTTTAAAATGTGGAAGATATTGAATTTTTACTTCAAAAATATGCAAAAATAGGGTAAAGTCCATTTTTTGTGCCTTTTACCCCTGAAAAAGGTTAAGGCAAATAAAATGGCAAAACTCAGTAAATTTAATTATTGAATTGCATATGATGTTATTTGATAGTCTAGTCAACATAGTCAAACCTTATTTGACTTCAATTTGTCTTGGTTTTAGTCAAAATAATGGAAATATGGATAAAAATGGCTAAAAGTGAGCCGTAAGCCCATATATGGGCATATACAAAATTATACATAACTCAGTCATTTTCTGTCCAATTTTCGATTTGACAACAATGTTTTGTTAAGGACGGTCTCAGCTTTAACAAAAATGCATTTAAAGTCTGTTAAAATATTTTTTGGAACATTTTTTTTAAATGTGACGGACGCGACAAGTTGGGACCCCCCTTCCAAAAATTTTTTCTTAAAAGATACAAGTCTGATAATTTCTACGGTACTCCCTTACCTTCAGAAGAGATAGGTTACAGTGGTTTTTTGAATATAAATAGCACTATGTGGCTCTGAAAAAACTTTTTTGCTTAATTTTGTGACGGACGCGACACCATCTTTGTGGAAATTTTTTAGAAAAAGTATTTGAGCAACGGTTTTGAAACTTTGCATAGCTCTCATTCTTATGCCTATGCTTAAGTGTATGGAATTTCATAGAGAAATATTGCTGCATACCCAAACTATGGCCCTTTGAAAATTTGAATGATTTTTAAAATTTCCGAGTAGTGTTCCTTTGAATGAGAAAAATCAAAAGTTAATGCAATATGAAACAAAAAACTTTTGTTGACCTGTAAGGTTAATAGTCTAATGAACATATTTTAACCAAAATTAGGTGCCTATCTTAACATTTTTCATTTTCACCAAGTGGAACCTTACCGTGGAATTGCCCAAATACATTGTGTGATCATTGGCTCATGGCGACAAAGTCAGAAATATACTCTCTCGCGCGACGCACACGCGTGTAGAAGCATTCCCAGCCAACCGCCATGTTCTAGAACAGACTAGATGGCTCCTCTAGTATTGCGATACTGGAGCCGATAATAGTGTTTAAATTAAGACTCTCTGATAATAGCTATAAGATTCCGGTTGGCTTTATAGGTCTGATTTACTACAAATATTATCTGTTTACTGTGAATATATAGCAAATTTTGTGTTTCGGGATAGAACCCACAAGAGACAAAACTTGCGAATAAGAGATGGAACGAATTGCACTCGCCAATTCACTCTGTGGTTTTCTCTGTCCACCCTGCATACTAGGGCTTTGACCCAAACATAAATCAAGATGTGTGGAAGGAATTCTTAGACGTTACAGACAAATGGTACGATCGAGACACCAAGAAAAATATCTTGTCTCAGTACAATTTTTACAGAGAAAAGCGAGGGCTATTTTCAAGGGAGGTTGCAGAGTTCAATGTGAAAGAAGATGACCCTGTTTCATGGTGGAACAATTTAGGCTGTGAGGTCCCGGAATTGCAGGCGCTATCGATCCGAGCTCTCTCCCAGTCAAGTTCTGCTTCTCCTTGCGAGACCAACTGGAGTTTGTTCGATTGGATCGTCAATAAAAAGAGAAATAGACTGACAGTAGACAAGCAGAGAGACTTGATTTTCATAAATGCAAGCCTACGATTCATGGACAATTCTCATGTCAAAGAATAATTCAAGTGACATTACCAGTTTATATCTACTACTATTTTTTTGTTTATATCTTGTAACTTATTGATAATCATAATATCAATATTAATGTTTTAATATTTTATGCACACAAATAGGATTGCCTCATTTTATATCAGTCTGTAAAATTGATAATTATCAGTCTGATAAAATAACATCTCAAAAATTGGCATATATTTGTATTTTTGATAATCACTGACGTTCACTAACGTTCAATAACGTTCGCTAAAAAAAACCGGAACATGCGTTCAGAACGACAAAATCCGCTGTTCACTACAACTACTTCACTGTGTTAAATACTTTAACCGTTAAAGTATTTAACACAGTGAAGTAGTTCGACCTACTTCATACCACGATTTTAAGTAACTCTTTTAAGTATTTAACGATTTCAGCATGTCAGTAAACCATTTCTCAGTGAACGTGGTAATGGTACATGGTAGTGATCATTGTAAGATACTTTCTAAGAATATGGGATCCAATCAATCAAGAGTGGCGTTTTAGGGGTGGGTGACATTTTAGGGGGGGGGGTTTACCCGTACCACGTATGCGGTTAAAGTATTTAATACAGTGAAGTAGTTAGACCTACTTCGTACCACGATTATAAGTACCTATTTATATTTAGTAAACCATTTCTCAGTTAACGTGGTAATGGTAATGGTAGTGTCTGGTATCAAAATCATTGTATCACGTCGTGACCCGCATTGTTGTTTCACTTAGTGAGGTGGAAGTCGCGATACAGCCGTGCACTTGTGCGCGGCGGGCCTACAACGTGAGTCAACAAAATCAAAAGCAACCTGTGCTACTACTGAAATAGGTTACTACTGAAATTTGAAGTAGGAAGTTATTTCCAAAACAATCATCGAGTTCGTAGAAAATCTTCGATCAGCAACCAAATTATAGCATGAATTCATCAGTCTTAAACACCCTAAGTGTTTTCTTGGGTAAATTCTATTGATCCCGTTTGATGCGACAAGGAAAAGGCTCTTATCAGGAAAGGAATTATTCAACGTTTCAATATGAAAACATCGTATTCATGATCTAAAAATATTTCTATCGAAAATTCAAAAAGGCTCTTTCCTGATAAGAGCCTTTTCCTTGTCGCATCAAACGGGATCAATAGAAATTTACCCAAGAAAACATTTCAACTATGCGACTCAATAATATTATCCGATCCGGATTTTACACGCCCTAAGTGCTAGGCCCGTGCTAGGGAAAAATCTACCTGTTTTTAATTATTTTTTAAAGACACGTTCGCAGTTCTCAGTAAATCTTAATTAAATCTGGGTATTCATCACAAGCAGCCCCTAGACAGATTTAAAAATATACAAATCGCGCTAACACTATTGGCTGACGTTCTATTATACCTTATAGTTATATGTATTATAGAGCAACCGTGATAAAACAGCAACAATATATCAAGTATTATCACCGATACCTCGACCACTACTACGTTAGGGTTACGAAACGGCAAAACATTAGAAATACTGGTGGGGCTGTGCATGATTGGGACTCGATAGGGCAATGCAATTCTCTGAGTAATGAATGATTGTCGGAATGAATGAATGATATTATACCATTGTTCAGACCACGGCCGTGGCATATACCTACAGGTTACCGTATCCAGTTATCCACGTGATCTGTAATTACTCTAGATTGTCTAGCATCCGGAGTTGGCGGTGCCATCATGTCCACAAGGAGTGTTGCTCGGGGAACCAGTCTAAATTTCTCTGAAATTGAGGAACTCCATTCTAAACTCCATTCTAAACTCCATTCTAAATTCCATTCTAAACTCCATAGCAGTTTAGAATGGGCAGGTATAAACCTGCGAGTCCCCTGTAAACGATCATGTTTTTTCTCATGATCTATGCGATCTCCTCGGTCGACTCAGCCGACTGATAGGAAACTTAATTGAGGGTTAAATGAGGAGGGGTACCTGTTAAAAGTCCAATAAACTTCCTACGATACCCCTTCAGTGCATACTCTAAACATACTATTAAAT